AGAATTTCTACCATACAATTTTTTTTATTTTTTTTAAATTACTTTATATACGAACATATTATATTCACACAAACTGTCAGTTTAGCTCTGTCCTCGGCCAAGGGACCCGTGAAGTCCTCACATGACGCATTTCGCCTCACCCAGAACCTTTCTCAAGTGTCAATAAAATGTCCAAGGCTGTTCTTATATCCCTTTTCTCTTTAGCAAGTCCAAATTCTTAAATGAAAGTACAGCCTCCTCATAAATTATCCAATAACAGGGTTATTTATTAAATAGAGAAATCAAAGTGAATTTCACATTTAAGGCTAGAATAGTTGAACTGGCCAGTTTGAATTCACCGTGAATTTTCTTTTTAGTGAGTAACCCTGTAAATGTCTAAATAATTATGGCAAACAAATGTGTTAAAGGTAAATGTATCAGTTATTATTAAAGTATTTTATAAAAAAAAAAAAAAAAAAATTACCACCAAATATCCAAACAATTCCTTATGCAATCATTACCTTTAAAAACCTGCTTTCTCTGCCTATACTTGTAAAGGGATTATGAACTAAAATAATTATTCTAAAAGGGGATTATCCACTAAAGGTCCAAAAAGATACTGCATAAAACCTTGATGTTTTCAATTAAAATAAAATCCCTTAAATATCCAAAATTTGCATACTCTAAAATGTTCATAAATATTACTTCTATTAAAATGTAACATACAATAATTCCAATTTCCAAACCTTATACAATCTAAAAGGCAACACAAATCCATTTAATTCATTTGTTTTAAAAATTACTTTAAAAATAATTTCTTTTAAATATTCAAGAGTAACGCCAATAAACCGAATGAAATGTCAAGACTAATGTATAACCCCCGTGGGGCTAAATTGTCCAACATATACACCCATTTAATTTATTGTTGTCCAAGTCCAACTTCTTTATTAAATTACACCTCCCCCATCCCAATGCCCTAATACTTTATATTTTTTTTTAATTCTTACAAACTTTTTGGGTCTTGACCTATTATTTCATTATTTGTTTCTAGACTCTATATATATATATATATATATATATATATATATATATATATATATATATATATATACACATACACTCTCCCTAACCCCCTTTTACACATTGGGATCTTGTAGTATGCCCTGCATATTGTGATATTGTGTAGACCACACAAACCGCTAAATCACAGTGTTGGTATAACACGTAATATGTTCTTAAATTTCACATTCTTTCCCTGTAATCATTGACGTAACTTTTTCAATCCTTTTAAAAAGCTTATTGTTCTTCATTTACACAACCCGGGGCTTTATTACAGTTATAAAAATTCTGCCTTTTCCTTCTTTAAAAAAACAACTATTCACTAAACTCATTTTAAAACTGCAATCCTCATAAGTTATGTTTTTTCTTTCTGGTAAAATGTGTTTGTTTTAAATCACTATCATCTATTTTAATTAATAAAATTGGCCAGTGCTGCTATATGATCTATTTTACAGCTACATGTTAAAATTAAATAAAATTAAATATTAGTATGCGCTCTCTTTTTTTCTCTCATCTATTGTGTACTCCTTATTCTCACCGATACTTATTTCACAGCATTTTTAGAACACATGCTGGGTATTTTATTCTCCTTAAATCTATTTAAATATTTTGCTTGTTCGTCATATGTGAACACCTCAATAACTGCACATTAGCAATATTATTTAACCAAGGGAAGTAATGGCCACTAATACCAAAAAAAAAGTTTTGTTTTAAATGTATCATCTATAAAAAAAAAAATCTCAAACTAAAACTGTTATTATCTCTATGCTTATATCACTTATAAGATATACTCCCCTGTTATTTGAATTCAAGAAGAAATTTTCAAAAAATTTTATGTACTCTTCCAAACTATAATCATACCACCTATATTGTGTCGATAGGACAGCATGTATGTATTCCAGCCATGCTCTTCATAATCAAAAGTAAGTCAAACCAAAAATAATTATTAGCTAAAGTCTATACCTTCTAGTAAAAAAGTAAAATTTGTTTTTGTTTGTGAGATAGTTGCTAGATTTTGTTTCCATCACTAGTGTTTGAAGAAATGGCTCAATATATTTAGTAGACTTGGGCATTCATTTTCGTCCCAATTTCTGGCAATTTATCCATTCTTACAAAAACAAATGGGTAAATGCAGAGCAACAACAAATTAAACGAAGACCAAATAACATGTTGTACGATTTCTGTTCATGAAATGTTTGTTTATTTATTTAGTTACAGGGAGGGAGCGAAAGGCTCCCTCCTAGAAATTTGATTATTTAAAAGTAGAAGCCGCTTCCTAAATTCCCCTCCCCCTATAGCAATGATGAGCGAGGGCTTAAATAAACTAGAAAAGCTACAATTTCTGGGGAAATTGTGTGAAGTGTTCTTGCCTCCACCAGTAGCCTACAACTGGAGGTGGCGGAGTAACTGTTGTGTGGTTGGAGTAACTGTGGAAAGGTTGGAGTGTGGTTCACTCACTCTACAGCAAGGGCAGAGAAGAACTTTCAAATCTTTCAAATCCCTCGAACATTCCACCAACTGCCAACAGGAACTAATAGATTTCAAATAGGGCAGAGAAGAGCGGTTAAAACAAACTGCTCCAAATTGCTCAATAAGAATAATAATAATATATATGTGAGATAATAGTAAGTGGTCTTGCCATGTAGGGATATAAATGTACCAATTTATATCAAAACGTTCCGCTATCCCTGCTGCCACTGTGATGTTTTGTACAAATCAGTCAATAATTTCTGTATAACGAAGTACTCACTTTATTAATACATATATAACAGCATCTTCATATTGCAGCCTTGTTACACAGGGTTTCAAATCCCTCGAACATTCCACCAACTGCCAACAGGAACTAATAGATTTCAAATAGGGCAGAGAAGAGCGGTTAAAACAAACTGCTCCAAATTGCTCACTTCACTGGCGGTTGCCATATTCAAACGGCCATATTTTAGAAACTATAAATCCTACAGCGAAGAGCTTTATATTGTGAGAATCACAAGACCCAGACCTACATTTTGATGCATAGTATGTCTCTGAAAAATAAAGGCACAGTTGCAGTTTAGAAATTGCCCTTCAAATTTGAGCTGGCTAGAGTGGAGTTTCAATGAATGTCAATGGACGGCGCGAGTTGCAAACAAATGGTCATATTGTGAAAACTATCAGGACTATGGCTTAGCCGTGGACATGTTTAGTGGCAGCAGGGATAGCTGAACGTTTTGATATAAGATTTGTGTAGGTGTGCTTGAAAATGAGGGAGTGGTGGCAGTTTAGAAATCATGTCCTGATTTTTCAGCTTTTGCCAGCTCCCATTCTAGCTTTGAAAATTTTGCCATTCATTCCTATGAGACCAATTTCGCCACAAGAACGACGATATTTTGTGAACCATTCGGTGAAACGTTAAACAAAGTAATAGCACACCAATTGGGAACAATCCGGACGTTTCGGTATATTACTGTCTATGTAGTGTACAAAGTGTGGGAGGAGTTAGGGTGGCAATTTGGCTATAATAATAATAAGAAGAATATATATGTGCGATAACATTAAGTGGTCTTGCTATGCAAGAACACTTAATAATAATATATGGGGGAAGTCAATATTAATATAAGTAAGATTGAAATTCTCCTTCATGCCCCCACCCACCATGTCTAATAACCAGTTAGCAGCCAGTGTCATAAAAGATAGGTCTTGAGAGAAGTGAGACTTACCTGCCAGAGTGCTCTTTGGATAGCGTGGAAAATCCCTTACAATTACAGTCTGTGCAGAGCCCTTAATGGGTGAAAATGGATATGATTTGTGTGTGTGTGTGTGTTTTATTTTTTCTCTTTATTTATTTGTGTAAGGCAGAAATCTGAATAAACACACACTATGTATCTAAGATTGGGGTATGTGGTGCTTAGGTTCAGACATTGCAAATACACACATGCTGGGTACATTGACATGCACACTGTACATAATATACACCATGTATTTCACCTAGTCTGGACCTGGACCATTACAGCCTTACACAGTCACCCTCACACTGCTCTCTGCACATAGAACAGGCACTCGCCTATAGCTCGTGTCAACACAGCGCCACCTCGTGTCGACAGCACGTACTACCAGTCCATTACAGACTGGTGGAGAGGTTCCCGTTGTGCGGGGATGTGTTCACGGTCTCCCTCTAGCGGCTGTGAAAGCAATACTAGCAGAGATTGTTTTTAGGACACACCCCTTTCCCAGCCTACAACCCGTCTCCATGGCGACCTGATAGCAACAACGCGGCCAGCACAGTGACTGCCAGCTCCCCGGATCACCCTATACCCCCAATCAGTGACAACGGTACGGCCAGAGAGCTGCTGTGACCGGATAATAATACTGCCAGGAGAGCTGGGGTAACGGTGTGACCTGTGACTGTGCTGTAAGAAGCTGCCATAACCAGAATGGGAGCCTGGCTGAGCATTGTGGGGATTGTGGTCCCCAAAGGTTTTTACAGTAGGGGCTTGGGTGGGCATTATATATTCTGCTTCACTCTACATCCTGGGATGGTGTTACTGTGTTGGTGTTACTAGAGGGCCAGTGTGGGGACATGTTTGTATTAATATAACCATACAAATACTGGGTGTTCAATGGAGTGGGAATGTCAGAAATGTAAAGTGATTCTGAAATCTTGGATCTAATTTATCTGAATGAAAACATCGCTTACTTGTACAACTTTATACAATTGGGATACTGTGGCCTGACGTGTGGCATTCACTTTGTATTAAGTTGACATATTACTGAATAACCCGACACGTCTGCTGCTTAGTTAATAGCTCTCTTAGCTCTATATAGAAACAGAACATTTAATCTGCCATGGTGCTGATATATCCATGCCTGTTTATCCGCAAGACTTTATGTCTAAGAGATGGTATAACCGATTCCACTGTTGTTTATTTCGTAAAAATCCTTGATTAAAACTTTGGTTGCTCTCTTATTTTTCCAGCTTCTGTAAGATGTCGCATCCACAGGCAGAGAGTGTGATAAAGAACATCATTAGGGAAATTGCGCAGGAATGTGCAGCAAAGGGACACACCGTGTCTGAAACAATGGTGGCTTTTGTGGTAAGCATGCTTAAATCATGCACTCTGAGTTTCCTGTCTATGGGACCATGATAGGCAATTTTAGTAGCCAACTTTGTTTTCTAAGAAGCAGTTGCATAAACCTTCAATGTGATTAAAGGGTTACTCCAAGCATTATAATGATTACAGTCCGTTGTAGTGGTTATAATGGCCCTGAACGGGCTTTCCTGTACTGGGACAAACTGCTTAGCAACATTTTGCCCCCTGATGACATGCTTCTGAATAGCTGCAGAAGACAATGTCATCACCATTCATTGACTGAGATGACTGAATATTGGGAAGTTATTGCAATCCAATGCTTTCCCATAGGAAAATATTGGGAAGTTATTGCACCTGCGCTGCAAAATGCAATGTCATGCCAATCAGCATCTACCCATAGAGATGCATTGAATCAGTGCATCTCTGTGGGAAATGTTCAGCGTCTCCATGTAGAGCATGAAGATGCTTAACGTCAGTTCCGCACACTGTGCAGCTCTGACCCAGTAAGCACCTCTTTTGGCCATCTAAGTGACTGCCACTAGAGGTGTTATTAGGCAGTAATGTAAACACTGCCTTTTCTTTGCAAAGTCAGTGTTTACATTAAAAAGCCTACATTAGCTGTAGTTCTGGTGACTACATTGTCCTTTTAAACAAGTAAACCTACCTCAAGATGAGTTGCACTCACAAGCAGCAAGTGAGAAAGAGCACAATAAGGTGCCTACTCCGATATAACATGGAAGCAAAGCAGCTCACTCCCTCTAGGAACCGGATTACCTGATTCTTCCAAGAACCTCAGCCAGGATCAGTATTTAGTAAAAGTTAAAATGTATTATTCACAAAGAATAAAAATAAAATGCTGTACAAATGGTCCTATGCATTTCATTCACGTAGTAGACTGCTTCAGGGACAACCGTTATACAATCAGAATTAAAAACAAAATTAAAGAACCATCAACTGTATGAGACTGACAAATACACTGTATGCAGAACTCAAAGAGAGAACTGCTACAGTCTTTTAAATACGTATTTAAATGCCTATTGTGAGCAGAGTTAAATCCCTGCTCACCAGAGGGTCTCAGGGATAAATCGATACTCGTGGCTCCCCTCTGTCATTTGTCACAGTGTAATCAGCATGCCTGTATTGTTGAAAACAGCCCTTAGAGGGTGGCTACAAACCACTCTCTACTGTTCTAACTAGGAAACCCACCTGCTGATATTAGTTATAAAATCATCAGAGGGTTTTATTAGAGGTAGGGTTACAGTTAGGGGTTGTCACGGGGTTGTACCCCAACTTACTGAAATAACAAATTCCACAAACAGAGGTTCTCAATAGATGTATTACCAGACCTTAGTGTGGCTGGACTTAATAAAGATAAAGACAAAGTCAGCAACAGCCAAAGTCAGGAATATAGAAATACAGATGAACAGAATAACAAGCTGGGACAGGGTACCAGAAATACAAAAAGTCAAATGCAAGCCAAGGTCAATATCAGGATATCAAGAGAGACTCATTATGAGCACTAATGTGTATCAAAGCAGAAAGCACGATCGGGCAAGGAATAAGGGCCCAAATTAGCATTACATAGGCTAACAATGTTTCTGATTGATCCACGTGGTCACTTTAAGGGTGCACTGGCGTAACGTCACAGCATTTAAATATATAAAAGGCGGGCCATTCAAATGGGCAGCATTTACATTTATGTAGGAAAGAAAAACATCTAAGAGGGGTTCACCTTGCACGAACCAGCAGAGGGAGCTATTTGCCGAGCCGAATGGTAAGTATTCCCTGTGCAAACCGCACGACCTGAGGAGGGGAGCAGCACAGCCAAGCATAGCATTCTGGGTAGGGGAGCAGCGCGGGTGCCAGGATTAGGTAAATTCATAACAGATGTAGGGTAATGGTAAGATTAGTGTAAGGTTAGTGGTTAGGATAGGGTTAGAGTTTGTGTAAGGGTTAATGCTGGGTTAGGGTTAATGTTGTTTTAGGATTAGGGATAGTGTAGGGGTAGAGTTAGGGAAGGTATATGGTTAGAGCTAGTGTATAAGGTGCATACGGTTAGAGGTAGGGATGATGTAGAGTTGGGAGAGTTAGTACAGGGTTAGCATTAACTACCAAAAATGAAGTTAAAACTTGGCATTTGCCTCTGCCCCTAAAGTAACACTCTACTGCCCAAATATATATATATTTTAAATAATACAAATTACTGTTTAGTAGATGTACCCCCATTGAAAACTTATTTTTCATTTTTCATTGAGGTATATTTAAAACAGCTTGCAAGATATGTAGTTCTCTTGTCTGCAGACTTTGTAAAACTCACCTTATTTCCAGCGCCGCGCGGGTTTGCCGGGGCTGGCTCCGCCCCCTTTGTGACATCATCAAAATGGTTGATTTTTAGCCAATCCAATGCTTTCCCATAGGTCTAAAATCAGCATGGGGAATTCCTCATAGAGATGCATTGAATCAGTGCATCTCTATGAGGAATATTTAGCGTCTCCATGCAGAACGTGGGGACGCTGAACGGCAGAGCTGCTTACTGTGCAGCCCTGAGCCAGGAATCCCCTCCAGTGGCCATCTAAGGAGTGGCCACTTGGAGGTGTCCCTAGGGGCAATGTAAACACTGCCTTTTCTCTGAAAAGGCAGTGTTTACATGAAACCACCAGTAGGGAATGATTATACTCACCAGAACTACTATATAAAGCTGTAGTTGTTCTAGTGACTATAGTGTCCCTTTAAAGTAACAGGATCAGTTGTCTGATTGACAGCCACTGCTCTGTAACAACGTTAATTTATAAAAGTGGCAAATTCTATTTAAATCTGCACTTAAAAAAAAAAAAAAAGTACATACTCGTTACACATAAAGCACTTAACACTCAAGTGCTTTAGGTTTCTGGAATGTCCCTTTAAGGGTTTTGACATAAATTCCTAATTCTACAGTGTTCCCCTACCTAGCAGGCTGAGTCCGGTGCAGCAACCCCTACATATTATTAGAAGTTTAATATGGAGGGGTAATGGTGTCCCCAATCCCTCGGTATAAAGTAATGTGCTTCTGTACGTATGGCCAGCTGCCCATTCCTAAGTTTATTTTCTCACTATGTCAATACAATAACCCAAGGATTATTAATAAGTAATTGAAACACTTTAACTGGACGTTTTGATGACAATTGGATATCAAAGTGGTGTAAGGATAGGAATGTATTTGTTTTAATGCAAATGATATATTTTTGATTATATGTCGCCTAGGTTAAAGCTATTGTTTTGGACCAAAGAAATGGTTTTAACGTGGACAGAACACTCACAAAAAATGATGTGCAGAAGCTGATAAAGGTAATGAAACAATGCCGATTCACTACTTTCTAACTAGCATTAGCTGTTTATTTTCATATAGTTATGTTCATCTTCCTGCACAAATGATATATTAAAGAAATAATAAACAGTCACATTAGTGCAAACGTATGCTTTGCACTCACAATGAACCTTCTGAACTTTGTTCTTATAATGTACTTTATTTAAACAAAAGCAATGCAATTATTCCATCCAACACACAGGAAAAAAAAAACAGTGGAAAAGGAATAAAGGGTAGGGACCATAACAAAGAGAGGAATTTCCATTTCCAGGTACATCTACCTCGTATCATGAAAAACTGCCTGGTTAAATCAAATACATGGTTATTTACCAATGTGAATTTCAAATTTAAGGCCAGAATAGCTGCACTGAGCATAGCTGAATTAGTGAATTTTCCATTTTGGCTATTGTGACTTTAAATTGATCCTCCACTACTCAAATACAAAAAAAAAAACATAATCGTGCATGGATTTAATTATGCATCTTTTCTCTGGGGGTATTTTCCAAAACACTTTGCAAAAGCTGAAGGTCTCTTGTCTGCTGCCTTTGCAAGGCCTCCCCTTCTAATCCCACCCAGACAGGGCCGGACTGGGAAACAAAGTAGGCCTGGGCATTTTTCAATTAGAGCGGCCCCCTAAGTAGGGGCGGGCCCAGAGAGGGTGTGTTTTGTCATCACTAATGATAAGCACACCCCCTCTAAAAGTGAGCATGTTGGTTTCCTGCGCAGAGCCCCGCTGAAGAGCTCTAGCATTAGAAAAAGGCCCTGTATTTGTTCTGCGCAGCACAAGCAAATTTAATAACATGCTTGCGCTGTGTTTGCTTTTAAATTGTCTCTGGTGTCTCCACAAGTGGGATACCAGAGGACAAAAGGGCCAGGAAAGTGTATGGTGCATGTGTTTGGAGCCTGCTTGTGGGATTGCGTGTGTGTAGAGTGTGGTGTGGTATTCTGTAAATAGGTCAATTTCATTTGTGTTTGTGGTGTAATATGTGTGGCTAGGGGCAGTGTGTGTGTGTAGGAGATCTAGTGTGTAAAGGACTCAGAGTGTGTATAGGAGATTGTGTGTGTGTGTGTGTGTAGAGGATTAAGAGTGCATATAGGGTAAGGGATCTAGCGTTTATCTGGAGCGTAATGTGTGTAGTGGTGTCCCGTGTGAGGGGTGCTGTAGTGTGTGTGTGTGTGTAAGAGGGGTGCTGTGTGTGAGGGTGTTTTTATCTGCCGTCGCATTCTAGGTTTAAAAATTTTTTTTGTCTGAGGGTTATTTTATTTATTATATATATATATATGTGTGTGTGCTGTATATGTGTGGGAGTGTGCTGTGTGAGTGAGGGTGCTGTCTGTCTGAGGGAACAGTGTCCGTCTGAGGGTGCTGCGTGCGTCTGACGGTGCTGCGTGCGTCTGAGGGTGCTGTGTGTGTGTCTGGGTGCTGTGTGTGTCTGGGTGCTGTGTGTGTGTGGGTGCTGTGTGTGTCTAAGGGTGCTGTGTGTGTCTGAGGGTGCTGTGTGTGTCTGAGGGTGCTGTGTGTGTCTGGGTGCTGTGTGTGTGTCTGGGTGCTGTGTGTGCCTTGGACAAATCTGCCCTTTGAGTTTAGCTACACTGAATTAAATAAATCAAGTAACAGAAAGGGTGGTCTGATTGAAAGCCAAGGGTGAGTAACAATGTATTTTTAATTTTTTTATTTTTTTTAAAGTGCCAATTTCTATTGAAACCTGCACTTTTTGTACAATGCAAAAAAGAGGACACACTCTTCACACATTTAACACCTGGTATTCTAACCATGGTATCTGACATTGGAGTTATCCAGCTGAGTATTTGAAGAACATTCTTTTCTCAATGTTTTTGCATTATATATTAAATGAACACCATCGTGTTAGGAATACAATTATGTATACAAGTAGTGTCACCCTACCTCTCATTAAAAACATTTGGCCTCATATTTATGCTCTATATTTCTCCACATTCAAATCTTATTAGTTTTGCTAAAACAAAAGTAAGAGGAATTTTTCAACGTTCTGCAACATAATCCATTCTTTAGCCAAGCCTCCTTTTTCACTAAGCAATTTTCTTATTCTGCATTATGAATCTTAACCAATGAGAAATCAGCATCAAAATGCTGGACACCCTCCATGGAGGTGTGTTGAATAATATAAATATTCACCACACGCATTTTTTGTATGTAATTACTTTCTTGAATTGAACATCCATAACTAGCTGTTATTGCTGTTTTCTTTTCCCCTGTTTATTAAGCTTTGTGTGGACAGACTGCTTGATCCTGCGAGTCCCTCAATGGAAACAATAAAGATGCAAATTTATTTTGATATGAACTATACAAATAGAGGTAACGTCTCTCATTTACCTTTGTGTGTGCATGATTTACAATTTCATATTTATCACCTCACTTTCATTACTAAATGCTATTCTGCATGAATTACAGATACCAGGCATTGTTTCAGAAATATTTGTTTCATAGAAACATAGAACGTAGAAAAATCTTTAAAGACACAAAACTAAACAAGGAATAGAACTTAGAACACTAGGATGGGAGACAGCACAGACCTGATAATAGGGGAATCCCTCCAACCCACAAACAAGTTGTTTGACTTGTTCTAGAAAAATCTTTAAGTTTGGATTCTAATATTGTTAAATGGATGAGGCAGTCGCTGAATAACAGGCAACAGAGGATTGTAGTTAATGGTATATATTTGAATTTGTTACCAGTTGAGTACCTCAGGGATCTGTTCTCTTTAATATTTTTATTAGTGATATTGCAGAAGGTCTTGATGGTAAGGTATGTCTTTTTGCCAGGGCCATCTTTAAAGCGAAGCAAACGGGGGAGAGGGGGGGGCTCAAATCAGCTGCCCTGTGGCCCCGCCGCCCGCAATCCAGCAAAAAAAAAAAAAATGTTCCCCCATGGGCCCACGTTGCTGCTATTGGGGCCTGCACACTAAGGGGTCAGACTGTGTTTTCAATACACTTAGGGCCTCCCGGTGAGCATGTTTTAGCAGTGGCCCAGTCTGGCGCTGTGGCCCTTTTACAGAGCGACCGGGCCCCTTGCTTAATGGGAGCATGGGAGGAAGGGACGGCCGCAAGTCACTTCCTCCCACAGAGACAATTAGCTGTGCGGGAGGGAGGCCGAGCCAGGAAGCAGTGAGAAGGGGGACTCAGCAAGGAGAGCCAGACCCCAACTCCCAAGCACCCCAGGGAAGGTACCCTCTTGCAAAGGTTGGAAACTGGAGGGTGGTTTTAAAAGTGTAAAGTTTGCATGTGTGTGTGTCAGTATGTCTGTGCGTTTGCCAGTCTGTCCGTGTGTGTGACAATATGTCTGTGTGTGTGTGCCAGTATGTCTATATCTATGTATGTCAGTATGTTTGTGTGTGTGTGTCAGTATGTCTGTGTGTGTGTTTGTAAGTATGTCTGTGTGTGGTGTGAGTATATATGTGTGGAGCATGATCCCCTCCCTTCTGAGACCGGGCCGCAGGGCAGTATTCCAACATGATAACGACACCAAACACACCTCCAAGATGACCACTGCCTTGCTAAAGAAGCTAAAGGTAAAGGTGATGGACTGGCAAAGCATGTCTCCAGACCTAAACCCTATTGAACATCTGTGGGGGAGCGCAAGGTCTCTAACATCCACCAGCTTCGTGAAGTTGTCATAGAGGAGTGAAAGAGAACTCCATTGGCAACCTGTGACGCTCTGGTGAACTCCATGCCAATGAGGGTTAAGGCAGTGCTGGAAAATAATGGTGGCTATTGACACTTTGGGCCAATTTGGACATTTTCACTTAGGGGTGTACTCATTTTTGTTGCCAATGGTTTAGACATTAATGGCTGTATCTTGAGTTATTTTGAGGGGACAGCAAATTTACTCTGTTTTACAGGCTGTATACTTACTACTTTACATTGTAGCAGAGTGTCATTTCTTCAGTGTTGTCACATGAAAAGATATAATAAAATATTTACAAAAATACGAGGGCGTACTCACTTTTGTGAGATACTGTATGTGTATGTATCTGTGTGTCATTGTGTATATCTGTGTATGTGTATCTGTATGTAGTCAATGTGTGTAAATGCATGTGTGTCAGTTTATGTATCTGTGTGCCTGTATGTATCAGTGTGTGTATATGTATCATGTCATTGTATCTGTATATCTGTATGTGTCAGTGTGTGTATCTGTGATGTCAGTGTATCTGCATGTGTGTCAGTGTGTGTATCTGTATGTCTGCATGTGTGTTTGTGGATCTACCTTTTGGCCACACTTGCAGTAGGGGGGCCTAAAAAAAATAATGAATAATGCACTATTACTTGCCCAGGGTCCAGTCAATATTAAGGACGGCCCTGCTTTTTGCTGACGATACTAAGATATGTAAAAGGGTTGATGTTCCAGGAGGGATAAGCCAAATGGCAAATGATTTAGGTAAACTAGAAAAATGGTCAGAGCTGTGGCAATTGACATTTAATGTGGATAATTGCAAGATAATGCATCTTGGATGTAAAAACTCAAAGGCAGAGTATAGAATATCTGATACAGTACTGACCTCAACATCTGTAGAAAAAGACTTAGGGGTAGTTATTTCTGGTGACTTAAAGGTAGGCAGACAATGTAATACAGCAGCAGGAAATGCTAGCAGAATGCTTGGTTGTATAGGAAAGGGTATTAGCAGTAGAAAGAGGGAAGTGCTCATGCCATTGAGACTTCACTTGGAGTATTACACGCAGTACTGGAGACCATATCTCGAGAAGGATATTGATACTTTAGAGAGAGTTCAGAGAAGGGCTACTAAACTGGTTCATGGATTGCGGGATAAAACTTACCAGGAAAGGTTAAAGGATCTTAACATGTATAGCTTGGAGGAAAGACGAGACAGGGGGGATATGATAGAAACATTTAAATATATAAAGGGAATCAACACAGTAAAGGAGGAGACTATATTTAAAAGAAGAAAAACTACCACAACAAAAGGACATAGTCTAAAATTAGAGAGGCAAAGGTTTCAAATAATATCTGGTTGTATCACTTTACTGAAAGGGTGGTGGGTGCATGGAATAGCTTTCCAGCTGAAGTGGTAGAGGTTAACAGAGTGAAGTAGTTTAAGCATGTGTGGGATAGGAATAAGGGAGTAATGAAATTATTTAGAAAATTGGGCAGACTAGATGGACCAAACGTTTCTTATCTGCCATCACATTCCATGTTTCTATCTGTTTAACCCCTTAAGGACCAAGCTTCTGGAATAAAAGGGAATCATGACATGTCATGTGTCCTTAAGGGGTTAAAGTATACCTTGCCAAGGACATATCTGCTAGTAATCATCATCAAGGCTGCACTGGATTTGATCAGGTGCACTTCTCTGTAGCTCCATGCTTTTTTTGTCATCAAACTGAATTTTACCTGTAAACCTAAAATATTTAGAGAGGATACCTTCACTGCCACCTTACTTTTAGTTGTGGGTGTCAAACCGGACTTTACATAGGACACAAGGCCATGTGTTTAGACTGGAAGAAAGAACATTTTGTCTAAGGCAAAGGAAAGGTTTTTTACTGTAAGAACAATCAGGATGTGGAATTCTCTGCCTGAAGAAGGGGTTTTATCAGAGTCCATACATATGTTCAAACAGCTACTAGATGCATACTTGCAAAAACAGAATATTTAAGGATATAATCTTTCAATGTAGGGTAATAACTGCTTGATCCAAGGATAAATCTGACTGCCATTCTGGGGTCAAAAACAAATGTGAGGAAGGCTGAACTTGATTGACGCAAGTCTCTTTTCAGCTATGTAACTATGAAAACTATGAAAGGTAAGAAACCAGAGGATAGAGACTCTACCAGCCTGGACATTCGTTATTTACTTAAATGCTCTCAGAGGGACTCCTGACCCAAGATAACACCACATGAAGACAGATCATGGGAAAGAGACATCTTTTAACTATCGGCTTCAGTTTAATCCTACCTCTACTGGGGACCTGGAACCAGTAGCAGCAAGAATGCCTTAAAGTTTATTTGCTGGCCTGCATTCTAATGTTGCTGTGGATATTTCTTGATTTAGAGATGCCATTATTGGGGTTACCATGCGGATCCCATTTGTGGAAGCCTCCTCCAGAAATCCAATTTGTTAACCCAGCAGGGTACAAGTGTCTGCATAGACACAATGAACTAGAGGTCAAAATGCATAGAATTTTTTGCTGGAGGGGAATTCACGCCACAGTCTGTTTGTACATTGGAAAACTTTTAAGTTGATATAAATAAAATAAATAGTTTTAAACAAAGATAACAGCACTTTTCATGAGCATTTGACACTTTATTATTGTGCCATATTTTGTTTGCCTAAGTCAGCTACAACTCCGATTTCAGCAACCATGGACATAATAGTCCAAGTCATGTAATATAAGGCCTTGTTCCTCTCTACTGTTATTTTAAATGATTAATCTCCTTCTGTATTCCCAAATATGAGGATCTGGTATAGGTCCTTTTAGTCCTGCTGCAAGTTCTTCTATCTAAGATCATATCTGTGGCGAATGTAACCTCGCCACGGGCTCCAAGAGGAGTCTGCTTGCCAGCCTTTTGCCCCAGGACTATGGGCCCTGCAAAAAGAACTGCAAAATACATTGTAAAAGACTCCGATCCACAAACCAAAGACCACCCAGGAGCTTGTTAAACATTATTGACACCTTGTAATGATTCTGCCAGCAGTGTTCTAAGTGTTCATCTGGGTGGCCACCGTTCATATGCCTGAACACGTGGTGGCAGCCATCTTGTTCCCGCAAACGCAGGCAGTGGTGTTTGGTCGTCAATTGCATGGAACTTAAACCGGAAACTCAACCTTGCAAACACCGCTGAACTTCCATCCCGCCTACGTTTGGTACTTTACATCCTGGAAAAGCGCTGTTTGGTGAAATCATTTATCGGAATGAGGTGAATAAGCTCCACATTATACTTATGGGTTAGGTTCGGTATTTTGGTCGCATGGAATTCCCGAATAGGACCGACTGCAACCCCTGAATTCATGTAAATGTTTGGGGCATAGGACCATGTGTGTGGCGGGTCAGAACTTTACCCCGGTGGCGATTCGGCCGCGTTCGTGGGATCTGACAGCTTTTTGGATATGTTGGTGGCTCATATCCAGGCTATCCAGGGATGTATAGACTGTGGGGGTTCCTGTGTGGGAAATATGTATTTTTATGTGCTTTTAATATGTTGTACTCTATACAGAGTCACAGTGACATTGTATTTTATGGCACATTGTGGGTGTGGTTATGGATGTGTTTGGGGGGGTGTCACTGTGCTCAGATTCTGTATATAAGTGAGCCAACTGGCTGGAATAAACAGACTACCCCCTGCATTCAGTATCAACTAATGTCCTGGAGGGAAAGCTATACTTGCTCTAATCACTTGCTATACAGCTATACTCTCTTGGAGGAGAGGTCATCCCACTGGGAGCTGGATCCAGGGTGGGAAAGGACAGCGAGACCCTAGCCAAGCTGAGGCCGCTAACGGCTAACAGACTACTGTGCTTATAGTGTCCGGTGCGGTGCTTATGGTACTCAGTGACAACTAGCAAGCGCGACTGGCGGAGGTACCCAGTCGGGGTGCCAGGTGGTCCTCCACAATATGTAACTGATTGGGTTTCCCTAGATGTTCCTGTTCACTCATCAAGGCACTGTCTTTCAAGTACACAGTACTCAGGCGCTAGAATCGCATCTTTACAATATGGATTTTCTTCTGGCTCCATCAGCTTCTAATGTGATTCTATCTAAATATACCCCATTTATTCCTCACAAGATAAACCTGCCATAGAGGAGGTTATCTGATCTACTTGATTCTCAAGTTCTTCTATGTTCAAGACTGGCTGGCTCTGAATATCACCCAAGTATTGCTTTAGTTTTTTGTTTTTTTTAAGATTCTTTATTTTCATTTTAAAGATGTTACAGTAGAAAATGTATTTTACAAAGACTGCATTTGAAAATGTAATCAACATGCACAATTGAAAAGATTACAGTAACACAGATCGAGAAATTCGCGATAACGCGATAACCTTTTGGAGATTTTTGCAGTTAGATTCCCCACACTTTGAGTTCCTATTGAGGTTAGTGAGCATTTAGCTCTGCTTGATTAGACAAAGTTCTGGATTGCTGTGTGAATTTCTGAGGTTTCCAAGAGTTTACACATGATTTGTATGCATCCTAGAGAAAATACTTTCTTTTTTTAATTAAGATCTAAACATCATCTTAAAATACTAAGTTAAAAAAATTAGTATAAACACCATATTTATGCATCCTATAGATGTTTGATATGTTGGTTTGCCACTTAAATTGAATTCTTTGTGCCCAGGAGAGTTTTTGGAAGAGCATCATCGTGTCTTGGAATCGAGACTTGCCCCTGTGTGCAGAGAAATCACTGATAGCCGGGCTCGCACAGCTGAGGAACTCGAGAGTCTTTATCGGAAGATTGTCAGCTACGTGTTGCTTCGTTCTGGACTCGGGTCTCCAACGGATATCAAAGTTGTCAGAGAAGCCACAGGTCAGCCTGTCCCCCACTTTACTGGATGTAGAAATATATTCTAAATATACACAGTCAATTAATATCATGCATGATGTGTTCTTTAATTAGTTGGTTTAAATAAGTGTAATATAAATTAACATGACAGTTTTTTTAATGTATATCTGTTATTGTATTACTCACCATCATTTTACATGATATGACAAGCTGCTAAAATCACACAATGAAAGTTTTACACTGAAGGAAATATTCAGTGTTATAATTTAGGAACTATAAAGCTGGAATGGCAGAAGGCAGAATGTATGAATAGAGGAAGCAAGAATAATGAGAAAAGTCATAGTTTAGGAAAGAAAGAAGAGGAAGAATGTTGTTTTTTTAGATAAGGAGAAAACATTTGTGGACTGGATTTGTCAAAGAATGACAGTAGTGTCACTTTCCTTTATTTAAGGTTAATAAAATGTTAACTGCATATTTTAAAGAGACCTACTCATGTATCACATATAAAGAGCCAAATTACTTCTGATTTTCTAATGGTATCCCTATTATTATTATTATTGTAATTTATATAGCGCCAGGATATTCCGTAGCGGTTACAATATTATCAGAGGGGGAGATTTAACAATAAATAAGACAATTACAAAAATTTAAGCTCAAACTAGCTTACAATCTATAGGAGGTGGGGTGTAAAACCCAACAGGACAGGAGCTAGCAATCAAACTAGGTGGAGTGAAGCAGAGCTGGAGGAGAGAGTAGAGTGCTGCGCTTTAGGAGAGAGCAAGGGGCAGGTATGTGAGGTATAGGTTATTCATAAGCTCTCCTAAAGAGATGGGTTTTGAGGCACTTTTCAAATGATTGAAGACTAGGGGAGAGCTTGATGGTCGTAGGCAGGCTATTCCATTGGAAGGGAGCTGCCCGCGAGAAGGCCTTCAAGCGTGAGTTGGCTGTATGGGTGCAAGCAGCAGACATGAGAAGGTCGTGGGCAGAGCGGAGAGACCAAGAAGGTGCATACCTGCGGATCAGTGAACAAATATAGGAGGGGCTAGAATTTGTCAGTGCTTTATAGGTATCCTGGCATTTTTAATCTTTGTGATGTACCTTGCATTGACTCCTATAGGATACAGGAAGCCAATGTAAGGATTGACAGAGGGGAGAGGTATGAGAGGAGTGACAGAAGAGGAAAATTAGTCTAGCTGCAGCATTCATTACAGACTGTAGCGGGGTAATACGACTTGTGGGAAGACCTATTAGGAGAGAGTTACAATAATCCATGTGAGAGATTACTAGAGCATGGACAAGCTCCTTAGTAGCATCTTGTGTAAGAAAGGGGTAGATTCAGGCTATGTTTTTAAAGTGGAATCTACACGATTTGGTAACACACTGGGTGTGAGGCTCAAATGTGAGGCCAGAATCAAGTATAACGCCAAGACAGCGCGCTTGCAAGCATGGACTGATGTGGGTATCACTCACTTGAAGCGAAAGAGGGGGGTCAGTATTAGGAGGAGGAAAGAGTTCAGTTTTAGAGAGATTGAGTTTCAAAAAGCAGGAGGACATCCAATGAGAGATTGAAGAAAGGCAAGCAGTGACACGTTGCAGGACGGCAGGGGAGAGGTCCGGGGAGGAGAGATATATCTGAGTGTCATCAGCGTACAGGTGGTATTGGAATCCAAATTAGGTAATAAGTTTGCCAAGAGAGGCAGTATAAGAGAAAATAGAGGGGGACCAAGTACAGAGCCTTGGGGGACTCCAGCAGAGACAGGACAAAGGGAGGACATATCATTAGAAAAGGTGATACTGAATAAGCATTGGGAGAGATAGGAGGAAAACCAAGAGAGGACAGTGTCATAGAGACCGAGTGATTGAAGAACATGGTCTACAGTGTCAAAGGCAGCAGAGAAGTCAAGAAGAATTAGTATAGAGTAGTGCCCCTTGGATTTAGCTGCGAATAGGTCATTAGTGACTTTAATAAGAGTAGTCTCAATAGAGTGCAGGGGGCAGAAGAAGGTCAAGGAGAGAGTTGGAATTGAGAAAGTCAGACAGGTAAAGACAAGTTTTTCCAGAAGCTTTAAGGAAAAAGGGAGCAGGATTATGGGACGATAGTTAGAAGGGGAGAACGGGTCAAGAGATGGGTTTTTTACAGTAATATGTTTAAGGGCAGCAGGGACAACACCAGAAGACAGAGAGCAGTTGAAGATGACAATCTGTGTTAAGGAAGTCACAAGACAAGAGGAGAGAGATCTGATAAAGTGAGATGGGACAGGATCAAGCAGGCAAGTGCTGGGCCAAGAGGAAAGGAGAACCTCTTGTTCAGTAGCATGGGAGAAAATTTGATTTGAAGAGTAGGAAAGGCATGACTTGGTGTGGTTGAGAAAAAGAGGGGCAAGGTGGTGAGAATGCTTTCCTTAGCTGTTCAATCTTGTCGGTAAAGTAGCATGCAAAGCTATCGGCTGTAAGGTTAGTTTGGGGGTGGCCACATTACTTCCTCCAGCAGCATTCAGCAGAATGGGAGCATCTCTTCAGGTAGTGTGTTGATTTAGTGTGCCATGGTTGGGGGCGTGTTCTCCTCAGGGTGCATGTTTGGAGCAGGGGTGCAGCATCCAGGTCAGTGGTGAGGGTTGTGTTATGAGGAGAAAGCCAGTGAGGAACAGGAGAAAGTAGGGATGGATAGAAGTTGGGAATCAATATTAGCTGATAGCTGCTGGAGGTCAATGTAATTCAGAGGTATTACCAGCAACATGGGTGGGGGACTGTGATAGCCCAAGGGAGGAGGTCATTGAAAGCACGTTTGAGGCTACTGAGGATAAGGGTAGGTTAATGGGAATGTTGAAGTCCCCAAGAATTAGGGATTGAATATTAGAGGAGAGGAAGTAGTGAAGCCAAGCAGCAGAGTGGTCAAGGAAGAGGAGAGGGGAACCAGATGGACGATAGATGACGGCACTGTTAGCAGAGATGGGTTTAAAAAGGTGAATTGAATGAAATTCAAATGAGGAGAAAGAGAGGGAAGGGAGTGGGTAGTGGTTTAAAGGAGCACTGAGGCAAGATCAGAAACCCTACACCACCACCTTTGCTTTCAGAGTGTCTTGGGTTGTGGGAAAATTGAAGACCACCAAAGGATAGAGAGGCAAGGGTAGCGGTGTCAGATGGTGAAAGCCATGTTTTTGTTAAGGCTAATAAGTCTAGGGGACGAGAGATGAAAACGTTGTGCACAGCAGTGGATTTAGTAACACTGCAAGCAGAGCGTGCATACCAGAGCGCAGTATGAAAGGAAGATTTAAAGGAAGAGTGACATGAGATGGGTACGAGATTTAAAAGTTTTGCAAGAGGGTGTGTATTTAGAGGTTTTAGAAAGAGTTGGTGGAGATTGGCTGGAAAGGTATAGAGTGCATGATACGATTCAAAGTTATATTTTACTTTCAATGAACCCATGGCGTTACAATCTCCTTATGCACTTCCTTCTCTCATTATTTGTTTACTTAACATTTTTAGCTACTGATATAAGGAAAGAAATAATCAACAATTTTGTTCAGAAAAGATACACATATTCTCTTCTTTGATCGTACCACAGCATATTGGACTAAGGACAAATCAAACTTGTTTATTAATCATAAAACAAAATGCTACTTTAAGAAGGAATAATGTTAGTGGTTTCATGTATAGTTGTAAAATCTGAAAATTGAAACATAAAATGATATCATGGGCCTAATGTCAATCTCAAATATTTTCTTCTCAGTTCTTTATTCTCTTTTTCTCATTAACTGCCATTTCTCACCTCCCCAAGGAACTCACTATTATTTATAGATAGCACAAATTACCTGACTTTCCAAACACACTGATTATGTCTCTCAAATCCTCATCACCTGCTCAACTATCACACTCCCTACCTGCAACCCCTGACCCCGCTCATCTAATTTTGCATAAATAAAAATCCTAATTTTCCTTTTTTATTATATAAACCCCTTTTAATCTCCTTAGAGAATGCTCTCCTTTATATTCTTTTCTTTCACTCTCACCTCTCTAATTAGCAAAGTATTTTATCCCTCTGCTCACCTGTCCCTGCTGCCATGAAAAGAGAGGGGAGGGAAGTAAAGTGGGAGCAATGAAAATGGTTTCAGCAGGGACAGGTGAGCAGAAAGAAAAGAATATAAAGGAGAGCATTCTCTAAGGAGATTAAAAGGGGTTAATGAGGAAAAGAAAATAAAGAACGGAGAAGAAAATATTTGAGATTGACATTAGGCCCATGATATAATTTTATGTCTCACTTTTCAGATTTTACAACTATACATGAAACCACTAACATTATTCCTTCTTAAAGCAGCATTTTGTTTTATGATTAATAAACAAGTTTGATTTGTCCTTAGTCCAATATGCTGTGGTAAAATCAAAGAAGAGAATATGTGTATCTTTTCTGAACAAAATTGTTGATTATTTCTTTCCTTATTAGTAGCTAAAAATGTTAAGTAAACAAATAAGGAGAGAAGTAGGTGCATAAGGATATTGTAGCACCATGGGTTCATTGAAAGTAAAATATAACTTTGAATCGTATCAGTAGTACAAATCCACATAAAGCAAATAGTATCAAGGCGGAAGAATAGTTCTGGGGCGACAGGCCTAATATTTTTTGGACTCCCAAGTCCTTAGTCATAGATATTCAACACCAAGGTTCTCCCACAAAAAATACAGCACGTCTTGCATAAACCATGCATTGTCTCACAGATAACAGTGCTGAAGCCTTTTATGCTATATTGGAAATATGACAATTCTCTTAACCGCAGTTTTTTGCTTTCCAGCTGCCTTGCAGAGTGTGTTTCCTCACACTGAGCTTGGGACATTTCTATCTCTAGTAAAGCGAGACAAGGAGCGTCAACTCAAAGAACTCACCATGATTGTCACAGGCATCCGATTGTTCAACAAAGACTGTGGCAAAGGTGGAGAAGGCATTGATGACTGTAAGTATATGGGCAGTACAAATAGTTACCTACAACAAATTTTCAGCTAACTTACCAAGGAATACATTATCATGACGCTAAGTGGTGTCTTAAATATTTCAGCTATTTCTCACTGTGTTTCCTTATACTTTAGTTTTTTTCAATTGGCTTTCTGAAATATGTCAGGTCATCTTGTTATCATATCATATGTGACTATGCCAATAAGGCCAAATGCCTACAAGTTATATTATAAGTAACGCCAGGCATATCTACCAGTGCATATACCATTGCTTCGTTCTTTTATTCTGTTATTTGTGCTCAATTCGCCTTCTCTTTATCACACTTTAAAAATTTAAAATGAGGTACATATATATTGTATGGCATTGAGTATCGTTCAGTAATGTGTCTGAATATAATTTTGCTGATTGTATAGGAAACTGTGACATGTCCGATATTTGCCTTGACTTGTTTTTTGAGCTTTGCATTGCCTCAATAAAACATTGATTAACAACAGAAATATCATATAATTTGGACAGTGCATCCAACAATAGTAAACTGAGGTCTATAAAGAGGAAACTATAAATATGTGATATGTCACAAACAGACTCTTAGATTGACTGACTCATTGTTTAATCCTATTGACCCTTAGCTTGACTGACTCATTGTTTAGTCATTTGCAATTAAATTCTGATGTTTAAAATAATATTGTCCTCAATATCATTACTAGGGTGTGACCTGTCATTCTGTGTATACATGGATTAAGGTCTTTCAAATCCTCTCGTTAATTAAATTTCAATATGTCTGTATCTTTAATCTAGATATACTGTGACATAAATAAAAGTTATTTTGATGTTTTGATTGTTGTTAAAGGAGCCTCCAACTTGGAATGTTTTTTTTTTTTTTGTTTGTTTTTGCTTTGCTACAATAAAACTTTATTTTTGTGTGCTTATACTATTTTTCCTTGCAGTTAGTACAATGACATACATGTTATATGTGACCTTGCAACCACCATTTTCTTACTTTCAGAAAATGGGAATATTAAAAATGGGAAAATAATATAAGTACTTAACCCGAAAGACTTAATTTAACTTTCAAGCACATTGTGCATACTTCTCAACTTTATATTTTTAATCTGCGGTGGTGGTGATGTTTTGTGCATAAAGTACATCTGATCCCAGCACTCATGCAGCTTGCAAGGCAACAACCAATTCTAACTTGTGCATATAGTTGCTAAAACGCTTTTGTATTAATGGATGTGCCTTGGTATAGCCTAGAAAAGCTGAAATATATTGTGTTTATGGAAAAGTAAACTAGAATAACACATAAGGAATCAAAGATGGGACTTTCTTTTCAGAACCTGGACACTTGGTGTGTATGCATACTTGGGTTAGATATTATTACCTAAATAATATACTTTGCTGAGAACTGATTCTCCATTTCTGAAACGCTGCTGCTACAGGAGTACTATCCACTGAGATATGTTAGCAATATAAATAGTGATACCAGATAACTTCAGCATGAACTGTTAGCTGTTTAGCTCACTCTCTTTGATATAGTGCATAGGTATTCAATATTTATTATTTTGAGGAACTCTGGAAACTTGAATTACTTACTTTGCTTTTGCTGAAGTACGCATACAGTTGTTTTACAACTTATATCCAGCAGGTGGCAATGCAGACTCTGTCATTTACACCCAAAAAAGGGTACACTCTATTAAAAAATAAGTATATTTATTTTTAACAGTAGTGTTCTTGTTAGCAAACTTTCACTGCACTCCCCACTCATTTTAAGAAAAAGAAAGTAAAAAAACAACATTGATTCCACTGCTGAGGCAGTCTTTTCTAAGCAGCTTCCACATCTAGTGTCATCAGTTATAATCATAGAAAAGCATAGGTGAACTACAGTAAATGAGTTACAGTCTTTGCCCTCTGCCAATTAAATATTAAACATAATGAAGCACTGAATCTACAGAAGCTTTTGATGTGTTAGACGTTATCTTCTACGCTCTGCTGCTGCGGGGGCCACCCCAAAAACTAATCTTTCAGCTGATAGCTTTGCATGTTACTTTACAGACAAGATTAAATAGTTAAGGAATGAATTATCCCCCCTTCTCACCTCTCTATTTCAACCTCACTTGGACCATACCACCCCTACCCTCCAGCTACTGAACGGGAGGTGGCTTTGTTTCTCCTCTCGTCCCACCACCTGTCCGCTTGATCCAGTACCTTCCCACCTCATCAGAGCTCTCACCCCTTGTTTTGTGCCATCCTTAACACACATCCTAAACTGCTCTCTTTAATCTGGTGTTGTCCCTGCTCCCCTTAAGCATGCTACTGTCGTACCCATCCTAAAAAAGCCATCCCTAGACCTGTCTACCACTTCCAACTATCGTTCCATATCCCTGCTTCCTTTTTCCCTCAAAGCTTCTAGAAAGACCTGTCTTTCCTCATATGACTCACTTCCTAAATTCCAACTCCCTCCTCAATCCTCTTCATTCTGGCTTTCACCCCCTCCACTCTACTGAGACTGCTTTTATTAAAGTTACAAATGACCTAATCACAGCCAAATCTAGAGACCACTACTCCATACTAATTCTTCTTGACCTCTCTGCTGCCTTTGGCACTGTTGATCATGGCCTCCTTCTCCTAACTCTACAATCTCTTGGTTTCTGTGACACAGCCCTCTCATGGTTTTCCTCCTAACTCTCCCAACGCTCCTTTTGTGTCTCTTTTTCCACCAGCACCTCCTCTCCTCATCCTGTCTTAGTCAGAGTCCCTCAAGGTTCAGTTCTTGGTCCCATTTTGTTCTCTCTCTAGACTGCCTCTCTTGGGATACTCATTAATTCATTTGAATTCCACTACCACCTGTACGTTGATGACACCCAGATATATCTCTCCTCCCCTGACCTCTCCCCTGCTGTCCTACAACGTGTCACCAATTGCCTTTCTTCAAACTCTGATTGGATGTCCTCCCACTTTCTGAAGCTCAATCTCTCTAAAGCTGAGTTTCTTATTTTTCCTCCTCATAACACTGATACTCCTCCTTCACTCTCCTTGCTCGCTGTCTTGGTGTCACTTTTGATCCTGGCCTGACCTTTGCGCCTCATGGCCAGTCTGTTGCTAAAACCTGTTGATTCTAACTTAAAAACATTGACCGCATATGCCCCTTTCTTACGCAAGATGCTGCCATTGATTACTGTAATTCTCTCCTAATTGGTCTCCCCAAAAGCCGTACTGCCCCCCTACAATCTGTGGTAAATGCTGTGCCAGGCTGATCTTTCTCTCCTGTCGGTCTTCTCACACCTCACCCCTCTGTCGATCCTTACACTGGCTTCCTGTCACCTACAGGTGTCAATTTAAAATACTAACCCTTACCTATAAAGCTCTAACAAACTCTAGCCCCTCTTACATTTCTTCACTGATTCATAGGTATGCCCCCTCTCAGTCTCTCCGCTCTACTGGTGACCTTCTCCTGTCTGCTGCTCGCACCCTTACTGCAAATTCATGCTTGCAAGACTTCTTACGGGCAGCTCCTTTCCTTTGGAACAGCCTGCCTGCCCCTGTCAACCGTTCCCCTAGTCTTCAATCCTTTAAAAAGTCCCTCAAAACCCATAGTTTCAGGAATGCTCTCACCTCCAGTTCTGCTACTTTCCCACCAAGTCTATTTGCTGTCTCTCCCAATACCCTTGCTATTGTGTTTTTATACCTCACCTCCTTTAGACTGTAGGCTCGTTTGAGCAGGGTCCTCAACTACCTGTTTTTCCTGTTACATTTTGTTTTTGTCTCATTTGGTAAATTCCCCTTTTATTGTAAAGCGCTGCGGAATAAGCTGGCGCTATATGAATACCAATAATAATAATAATAATAATCGTATTGTGCATGATGATGTTGAACATGAAACCTTTGATTTTCAAATATCTTCAGAAGGAAAAGCCTTTAGGGGCTTTTAGTCTAAAAGCTGTACTAGATGTGTGGTTATTAACGAATGTAAACATTGCTATTCTCTGTAAAATGCATCAGGGTATATACACCAAAACCACTTCGTGTATTTTAATCCTAGTATAATATTTAGATTTTAAATCCTATAATTCCAGTAGTCATTGATGCAAAGATTTACGTAGTTGGTGATTAAAGGACCACTATAATGCCAGGAAAACATACTTGCTTTCCTGGCACTATACGGTCTCTTGGTCCCCCCCACCCTCAAGGCCCCTCTCCCGCCGGGCTCTAGGAGGTGGAAGGGGTTAAACTTACCTCATTTTCCAGCGCCGGGCGGGTGACTCTCCTCCTTCTCGCCGTCATCGGCTGAATGCGCATGCGCAGCACGAGCTGCGGGCGCATTCAGCCAGTCCATAGGAAAGCATTCTCAATGCTTTCCTATGGACGTTGGCGTCTTCTCACTGTTAAAAACACAGTGAGAAGCACGGAAGCGCCTCTAGCGGCTGTCAATGAGACAGCCACTAGAGGCTGAATTAACCCTATTATAAACATAGCAGTTTCTCTGAAACTGCTATGTTTATAGAAGAAAGGGTTAATCCTAGCTGGACCTGGCACCCAGACCACTTCATTAAGCTGAAATGGTCTGGGTGCCTATAGTGGTCCTTTAATACTGATTGCAATACAATCACTAAACTATCTTCTAATATATAATAATTATGAATTTATGTCACTCCGAGAATGTGTCAAAGATTTTCTAGTTAGTCACTAAACTGCATTTCAATGTATAATAAGTACATTATGAATTTACATCACTACTATAATGAATTTGTTACCACCTTGACGTGGGCTATTTTGGCTACATCTTACATCATATGGTCAAAAGTATGTGGGAACCTGACCTTCACACCTATATGTTCATGTTGGACATTCCATTCCAAAACATGGGCATTAATATGGAGTTGGCCACCACTCTTCTGGGAAGGCTTTCTACAAGATGTTGAATTGTACTCATACAGCCAAAAGAGCATTTGCAAGGTCAGGCACTGCTCTTGGAGGATACTTTTTGGCTTGCAATTGATGTTCCAGTTAATTTCAAAGGTATTCAGTGGGCTGTAGGTCATAACTCTGTGCAGGCAACTTTAGTTCCTCCTCACTAAACTCATCAAACCATGTATGAAATTTGCTCTGTGCACAAAGGTTATCACATTGGAACAGGAAAAGATCTACCCCAAATTGTTGCCACAAAGTTGGAAGGCACCCAATTATCTAAAATTTCTTTGTACCCTGCAGCATTAAGTTGACCTTTCATTGGAATTAAGGAGCCTAGCTTAAACCCTGAAGAACAGCCTCAGATCATTGACCCTCCTTCACCAAACATACAGTAGGGATCATGCATTCTGGTAGATGGCATTCTCCTGGCATCTACCACACCCATATTATTCCAGTATGCCAGTGAAACATGATCACTCTAGAGAACAGCTCCAGAGTTGTCATGGCATACTCTATGCCAGTCCAACTGACATTTAGCATTGTGCTTGTTGATGTGAGCGTGCTTAGAGATGGAGAACCATTTCATGAAACTCCCAACGCTAAATGAACAGGTGATAGCTATGTGCTTCAGCACTCGATATCTCCATTCTGGGAGTACACAAGGTCTACCACTGTGTGGCTGGACTGTTATTCCTCCACTTCACGATGGCATTTCACATTTCACAAGCAAATACTATGTCAGTGTCATGTGTAATGTCACTGAGCTCTTCAGTATGATCTTTTGTATTGCCAATGTGTGTCTATGTAGATTTTATAGCTGGATTTTATGCACCAGTTAGTAATGGGTAAGGCTGAAATACCTGATTTGAATAATTTGATGGGGTGTACACTTTTAGCTATATAGTGTATATTCCATTCTCAGTGGCCATAGGAAGCAATAGAAAAATAAAAGATTGAAAGGTACTCATAGGAAAACATAGATTTGGCTAACATTACTACCTATCTATCCTCCCTAATACACAAGTATGTCCCGTCTACGCCCTTACACTCTGCTGAAGACTTACGTCTATCTTCTGTCCGTACTCCCACCTCTGATTCTCAAGACTTCTCGAAGGCTGCACCATTCCTGTAGAACTCACTTCCCTCCTCCGTTAGATGCTCACCCAGTCTCCACTCCTTCAAAAAAAAAAAAAAAACTTCTTCATAAAAGCATATTAATTAAACTGGTAATAGCTCCCGACTGATTCCTCTCTTGCAACTGTCATTAGTCTAAAACTATCCTTACCTTTTGTGTCACTTTACCCCACTCCCTCTAGCATGTAAGCTAATTGAGCAGGGCCCTCAACCCCTCTGTTCCTGTGTGTCCAACTTGTTTGGTTACAACTACATGTCTGTTCGTCCACCCACTGTAAAGCTCTGCGGAATTTGTGGGCGCTATATAAATAATAACATAATAATAATAACTTAGTGATTTTGTTTTCTGTTGTTTGTTTGTTTTTACATATATGAATTTTTAATGATTCTAGATCAAGGTTTTTGAATGCCAAATGCAACCCTGCAACTAGCTGGAAGATCCTTTGTGGGCAGAGCATATTTTCTTATTTATAAATAAAATGTCAGTGTGTAAATTCACAGTGATTTGCCCTGCAGATTATCAGAATTAAACAATCCAATCCATATTGGTGGAACAGGTCAGATTACAGACAGGAAACACGATTGCTAATCACAAGATACATTGCATAACAACTAACTGTAAATTTACTTAAAATTCTGTTATCTCCACTTTTATCAGATAAATGCATAGAACAAGAGAAAAATATGATTCTGGTAACATTGGGTCAAAAGTGAAAGGAGTAACAGTCAGTTACATGAAAATGATTAGTGTAGGGGAGTAAATATGTGAATAAGAACGTATCAACACTGAATAGTACCTTATTAATAAGTATCTTATTAGCTTTATGATAAAAATAGAAACATAGAATGTGACAGCAGATAAGAACCATTCGGCCCATCTAGTCTGCCCAATTTTCTAAATACTTTCATTAGTCCCTAGCCTTATCTTATAGTTAGGATAGCCTTATGCCTATCCCATGCATGCTTAAACTCCTTTACTGTGTTAACCTCTACCACTTCAGCTGGAAGGTTATTCCATGCATCCACTACCCTCTCAGTAAAGTAATACTTCCTGATATTATTTTTAAACCGTTGTCCCTCTAATTTAAGACAATGTCCTCTTGTTGTGGTAGTTTTTCTTCTTTTAAATATAGTCTCCTCCTTTACTGTGTTGATTCCCTTTATATATTTAAATGTTTCTATCATATCCCCCCTGTCTCGTCTTTCCTCCAAACTATACATGTTAAGATCCTTTAACCTTTCCTGGTAAGTTTTATCCCGCAATCCATGAACCAGTTTAGTAGCCCTTCTCTGAACCCTCTCTAAGGTATCAATATCCTTCTGAAGATACGGTCTCCAGTACTGTGTACAATACTCCAAGTGAGGTCTCACCAGTGTTCTGTACAATGGCATGAGCACTTCCCTCTTTCTACTGCTAATACTTCTCCCTATACAACCAAGCATTCTGCTAGCATTTCCTGCTGCTCTATTACATTGTCTGCCTAAATAATAAAATGATATAAGTAAAGAGTTTCTCCTGTAGATAATTCCACGCCCTGTTACATATTGATATAAAATATATTTAGACATACAATTGGTTATATTACACTCTGTATTATATTTTGACAGGAACAAATTTTATTATTATACATTTGGATAGTACCCGTCCCCTCCCTTTTAAATTTTTTTATTTCTTTTTGATCATTATTTTTTCACCTTCCCTTCTTATTTCTACTTGTTTCTATTATTAAATGTTGATTTATTTATATAACAAATTAATGTGAAATATGTTTTTTTCAAATACTGGGAATTTAACATTTAAATATAAAATATAGGGAATGGTTGCAATTACCGATGTTAAAGAATGAGTGTCTATATTGCTTTTTTTTTTTTTATAATATATGTAGTCTGACCCAGGATAAGCCACATTTGAGACCCATGCATTGCCAGACTTAAGACTCAGGCTGAGTTGTAGATGTATAGTAGCGTGTGTCTTCCTTTTGACCACCTCTTATCTGATCAATCTAACCCATATAGAGTGGAATGTTTAACTTAGATAATCTGTTGGGTAAATCATTGAGCACTACACACTGTGCCATATTATACAGAAATAACTCAATAGTGGATAACTATGTAGAGAGTTGCCATCCGAAATGTTGGTACTGCTTTCGAATGCACAAGCTGGACCCCCCCAGTCATACTGTGGGGATATTTATGGGATAATAATAGTAAACAGTTGAGAATTGCCCACTAATTAAATTCTCAGATCCCAAAGAACGTTTATCGTGTTAAGTGGAAAGTATTTCATATAAATAATCACAATGTATAAAAATAGATTTTTATTTATATGACAAAATTAATAATAATATTATATGTAACATGCATAACAATAATCAATGAATATTCAGTATAAAACGATATGCAATACAAAGAAATGGGTATTACGTTTCAATGGCTAAACGGCATTTTCTGTCAAGACTTCTACGATTTATGACTAGCTTTCACAGACTGAAAGTGAAACTTTTCACAGGGAAGAACAGAATTCCTCAGAGTGCAGCGTAAGGTCGTAAAGTTTAGCAGACAGTTAGAATAACCCTTTCAATGCTGGCTAGATCTCCTAGGTAGTTAAGATCTATTCTTATGTAATTTTTAAATAAAATAACATTTAAACCAGTTCACTAGTCATTTTCTTAAACCATCCAATAAGAGAATCTAACATTATATAAGCAGATTTTTAATTTGTCTAAAAGATATCTATCTTAATTTAGAGCAAATCAATACACCTGGATAACAACAGCGGTATGCTAACACGTGATAATATCACATCAATATATAATTATTCTTAATTCCACCTGCAGAATGGAATGTTTATAACTATATATTCTTAGTTAACTAAGATTTCTTAATATGGAAATCTGACCGTGCTTTATCCAGTCATATATAATGCTATTAATATATTTTAATTAATTTAATTTAATTAAATGAAACCAGTATAATTACCAGTTGAGTAGATATTTCATCCGATTGGTAGCCTCTTATTTGGATGTCTCTCTCTGCATGGAGGTGTTGGTTAGAAAGTCAGTAAATTCTAAGTGTTAGAGTTTTAGGAGTAGAGTGTTAGTCTCAGATGTTGTCCGAGTTGGAGTCCCCAAACTTCCAATTCCTCTCTCCTCTCCTTTGCATATCTTGCATCTGCCTCCCTCTCTCGTATTCTTGTATCCTCTATCTTCCCTTTGTCCTAACTTTTAAAGGGCCAGACTCTCTGTACGTCATCAGTTGATAACCCAATAGAAGCACTAGAGGTGTGGTTATCTTCCAGATCGCAAATTAGTTATTTGGTCTGTAGAGGGCAGTCTTGTCCCACTAAACATACCTATCCAGGAAAGAGTTAACTTTTCCTGGTGGCTATTTTGACGTCATTTTGCGTTATCTTTATAGTGCCATAATTTAAAATTTCAAAGGGTTTCTTAAATTTTGTCCAGACTTAGCGTCTGCAATTCCTGCCATAATTTCTGATATGACAGATCATGAACTAAGTTTACCCTTTTCCATACAATGGTACCTTATATATATATAGACAGTTAAATATTATTATTTAATCTTCTCTGTCACAATTGTCTGGGTTTAGATTTGATTATATTCTTCTTATCACTTGTTTATACTATGCTATGCATTCCTTAGCTCTGGCAAAGAGGCCAGTCTTACAGAAAGAAATCCTGTGTCTCTTTGTTTTTGTTAACTTGAATAACAAAATGGAGTCTGGTCTGTTCAGAGTGACTCAGAATATACACTTTTAGTTTCTATCATAGCACAAAATGTCTGCCGATATAAATACTCTGACATAACCCCCCTTTAGTGCATTTCATAGCCAAAATTAATTTAGCTTATGAATAAGCACTATAGAAGTTATCAGACATATTGTGCAATCACATCATTTCTAACATAGGCCCGTGCGTGGAATGAACATTTTTGTATATATTTGTACCTGTAAGAGTTTTGAACTTTACACTTAGTACAATCAATCATAATATCATTATTACATAGTACATTATTTTCATTTGAAAAATGTTTTGGGGAGTTACATATGGTATGGTCAATAAAAAGCAAATCTCCATGCGTTCCGGATTAATTAAGAGAGGTATAGCGCTCCCCATCTCAAAGGCCAGATTTAATTGCATAGGCTCAATTGTCTCTCCATCCACATTGGCAAGCATCGCATGAACAATATCCTTGGATACAAAATACAGAGGTATGCGTCCCCCTGCCAATTCGATCATTCCAGTTTGCACTTCGTCAAGAAAAGCAAGTGTGTGGAACAATATTGGGTCATGCAGAAATAGAAGTTCACGCTTAAATAAGTCATGACTTTGGTGCAACTCAGTGGATTTGGTAATTAATTCCGAATGCAAATTCGTTGTAACAACTGTGTCTTCCACAATAGTTAACACGTCTTGGAGAAGTGTTCTTTGCTGTTGTATCACCTGATGAATATCGTTAATGTGTTGCTTTAGCGCATAGATTTCCATATCCAGCTTTTGGACAGTAATAGAGTTGGCTGCAGACATTCCAGTTGCGACAACTGCACCGACAGTGGCACAAACTAATGCAACAATTATAGCGGTGAGGAACCTTTTGGGTCGGTTGCTCATCGGAATAGAACTGGATACAAATGGTTTCCGGGTTTGCTCCAAGATGTTTCGCACACGGTCCTGTGCTCTTTGGAGGTGCATCTGGTACCAAGTCTGTAACTCAGGAAGCTGCATCGATGAAATGTTGTATGCCTTCTCGATGGAAATCTTGGGGTCCAAGCTGACGAACACACGTCTGGTCAGGATCCTCTTCTCTGTTAAGATGAACCCTGGTGTCTCTTGAATCAGGATGCCGGAGGATGGTCCCATCTCTGCGATCGGGTCGGTCCGTAGCTCTTGGCACAGGAGCAGTACGATCCAGAAACACGTCACATCCTTCTTGGACATCTTTCGACAGTCACGGATCAGGAACTCGTTTCAGACTTATCTACTAATGATTCAAGGTTTGTTAAGCATACAAACTTATAACAGTGTGACATCACTTGGCCTAGGACAACACATTATTACGATTCATCAACATATGTATTCTGTCTAATTCTATTTTTATAACTTCATCCCTCACTACATTTATTACTGACTCTTCAGCAATTTGCCTATAGCAGTTAAACAACTAGTAACCTGCTTAGAAAATGTATTTATTGGATGGCAAGGAAATGGTTAATGACATGAACGTACATGAGATCATGGCACATCACAACAATTCACATCATACGATACCACGTGAATCAAGCATTCATCCAGGTTAGTCGTTCACCCTTCTGCGTCTGAATCCACACCTATAATCCTTAATTGAGATTTAGGATGACAAGCACGCAACTGGTTAATGTGAACCCACTTTTCAATAAAATCACCATCCTTAGGAATTTTTATCTTGTACGCTACTGGGGAAATTTTGTCAATGATGACATATGGCCCTTTCCAAGAAGGTAAAAATTTCTTTTCCTTGACTTGATTTCGCGCAAAGTTATACAGATAGACTTGATCTGTTATCTCATATTCCTTTTTCGTGGTTTTTAGATCGTAATAGGTCTTAACCCCTGTCGCTGCTTTTTCTAGATTCTTTTGGGCAAAAGCAAACGCATGCTGTAAATGCTTGCGCAAATCTTCGATATACTGATGCGTAGTGGCAGCATTGATCAAGTTATGATCCGAAGTACGATATAGTAAATGCTGTGGTAAAACCATCTTTCTTCCTGTCATCAATTCAAAAGGTGACAATTTGGTAGCAGTGCTAGGTGTAGCTCTAATCGCCATTAAAACTAGGGGCAATTTAATGTCCCAGTCTTTACCAGACTCCTTAACATATTTCTTCAGAATATTAACGATAGACTGGTTATATCGCTCTACCCCCCCGCTAGACGCAGCGCGGTATGCAATATGTAGCTTTCGTTTAACACCTAGAATGTTCCACATCTTAGCCATTACTTCGCTGGTAAAATGACTACCTCTGTCTGACTCAATTCTTTGAGGCAGACCGAACCTGGAAAAGACATGGTTAATCAACAAAGTGGCGCACACGGTACTCGTGTTCTCTTTACAAGGCAAACATTCTATCCACTTTGTGTACATACATGTAACGGTTAACATGTATTTGTTACCTCTTGAAGATCTTGTTACAGGACCTATAAAGTCAATTTGAATATCAGACCAGGGTAATGACACCCCCCTCTTCTGAAGTGGTGCACGATGGGTTGGACCATGGGGTTGATATTGCGGACAAATCAAGCATCCCTGACAGTATGTCTTAACATCCCTTAACATGTGTGGCCAATATGCATAATCACGCAATATCTCATATGTGATCTTATCACCACGATGCCCAGATGTAGGTGCATCATGTGCGTGTTGGAGCATTAACCCTCTGTATACAGTTGGGACTACCCATTGTTGTATACCATGTTTAGAAGTTCTGACCAGTAACCCATCCATGATACTAAATTGGACTTTATATCTCATCAAGATTCGTAAATCTTCATTATCTTTGCAATCCTCATCTGTGATGGGATTGGCAGTAGGGTCTTCTATATGTCTATAGAATATGCCTATGACGGGATCATTCTTTTGACTAGTAATCAGGTCCTCACTAGGAGCTTCTTGACTCCATTGCACGACATTTAAGTCGGCATTATCTCTAGCCTGTCGTCTAGTTATGGCTTCAACATGAATTGAACCCATAAGATCATCAATGTTTAGGGTTTCACCATTGATGGCAGCTTGTTTTGCCAGTGAATCGGCTAAGTCATTACCATCCTTGTCAATACCTTCTATTTTAGAATGGCCTTTGGTTTTCTTCCAATATATGGATAAACCATTTTCCTTAACCAGTTCATCGATTTTACAAAACAATTTCCCATGTTTAACAGGTTTGTTATTGCTTTTCAGCATTTGGTTACGTTTCCAGCTAGGCAGATATTCGACGAAACTGTTGCGAACATAGTTGGAATCAGTTATAATAACAAATTCTTTGATACCATATTCTATTGCCATTTGAATGGTCTTATATACTGCACAGAGTTCGGCTATCTGACTGCTTTTGGGACCAATATTGTATCCTATAGATACATTAGGATAATCACCTATCCAGGCGATTCCGATACCTGCAACTAACTTCCGTTCAGCACCAGCGACGTGGTGATATGAACAACCATCAATGTATACCCACGGTAGTGGTCGACAGTATTCCTCGTCATAAACTTTATAAGGAGATAGCAATTGCTCTTCTAGGAAGTCATCTCCGGTGTCATTATCATCCAGAGATGGAGCAGTACAGTCATGTAATTCTGCTAAACCTTGGGCAACTGGGCTTCTCTTATTATGTTTATAACGGACTTCTAACGGCCATCCCTGTAAGGATAGAGTCCATGCAGTAATCCGACTGTTAGAGAGATTACCGTCTCTAATTCTTTCACTCTGCAGATACTGTAGAGGTTGGTGAGCTGTTTCTACAATTATTTTCTCACCTTGGATATAGCTACGAAAATTTTGTAGTGCCCATACAGTCGACAATAACGCCTTCTCACACGTGTTGAATTTAACTTCAACAGGTGACAAAGTCTTGCTAGCATATGCAATAACTTTGTTTAAACTATCCTGCTTCTGATACAGAACAGCACTGATGCTTAAATCGGTATATCCTGTCTCCAGATAGAAAGGTTTACCCCCCTCTGGGTATGCTAAACAGGGTGCCTGAGTGAGCTTCCTCCTCAGTTCACTTACCGCTTGGTCCTGAGGCTCCCCCCAGTTCCAGGTAGTTTCCTTTTTAAGCAGGTGTAAGAGTGGTTTAGTTATTTCTGCATAGTTATCTATAAACTTACGGGAGTAGTTAGTCATACCAAGGAACGATCTTAATTCCCTGATGTTTGAAGGTGTTTTAGCCTTTAGTACGGCTTCAACCTTCTTCCTCTGGGGATTTAATCCTTCAGAAGTTACCTCATGTCCGAGGAAATTGACATGGGTGCGACACCATTGTGCCTTTTGTAAAGACAGTTTAATCCCTGCCTCTCTTAACTGAGTGAGAACATGTCTAATCTCTAAGATATGCTTATCAAAGGAAGTGCTTTTCAGCAAGACATCGTCGACATATGATAACGTTCCTCTCTCGAGTGCGTCAGGCATAGCTTTATGCATGAACACAGCGAATTCATGACCAGAGTTTATATAACCGAAAGGCATACGGGTCCAGGTATACTGCTGCTTTCCAAATGTGAAGGCCAATTTGTATTGGTCTTCATTATGGACTGGTACAGTCCAATATCCCTGCGCACAGTCAATGGCAGTGAATATTTTGGATCCCTGCATTTGTACCAAACATTGGTCTATGTATGGCGTTGGCCAACCAGACATATAGACGCGTTTATTTAGCTGTCGTAAGTCAGCGCATAAACGCCATTGTCCATTAGGTTTCAGAATCCCCAAGATCGGATTATTATACGAACTGTGCACTGGACGTATAATGCCCCTTTCCTTTAAATTCTGAATGATGTCTTGTAGACCATCATATGACGCTAATGGGAGTCTATATTGTTTGATAAATACAGGTGGTAAATTTGGATCAGTTTGTATTCTGGCTACGTGGAGGTTAGTTAACCCACAGTCGTAGGAATCTTTGGCAAAAATATCTTGGAATTCCAAAAGGATTTCCTTTAGCTGTTGCCGCTCAGCATCGTTGGAGCAACCGTCAGCTAAAGATATTTGCTCTTCTAGCCTTTCCTGAAATCCTGGAAAGATTTCAGGCTGGCCTATCTCATAAGCTTCTTCAAGCCTAGAAGTTAGGTCAGTTCGGTGTTGACTTACCTTTTCTCTTTGGTCGTGATACTCTTGTGATTCCTGCTCATTGAGCGGATGATCGAAGGTGATAGATGCTTCTTCGATTTTACACGAGCCTTCTTCAACATTGAAGGGATACACAGATAGGATAGTGAATAATCCTTCTGGGGAGGAATGGAATATTTGATCGACAATTTCGTCCTCAGTTAAGTATTCTTCAGGGATGAGGCCTATAATTTGGTTCTGGAAACCAAATGTATAGTACTCAGCATCCAATGCTAGACCTAATAATATTCCTTTTGGTAAAGTAACACTATTGGGTGTAACATTGTTAACCATGATATAGGTGGGATTCTTACCAATACTTACCATTGGTGTATGTGTTACCACCATCCCTAATTGTTGTATCCTGTTGGATAAACAGATTAGGGCATCAGAGTTTTCTAATCTCTGACCCTCCTTGACCTGTAGGGGTAAAAGAAAATTACTTGTCCCCTGTGGAATGGTTATGTCATCAGGAACTTGGATACTTACCGCATATGGGAGTATTTGTCCTGATTTCAGGGCGTTTTCCTCGTGTAGGTATCCACAAGGATTACCTTTTAACCTTGTCCACAAGTTGGAATTAATCAGGTCAAGGTGTATGGCAAAGCGATGTATGACATCATTGCCAACGTAAACCTGATAGCGAGGTTCGTCTATCACTAGGAATAAATGTTTAACTGTCTTATTTCCGATGGAAATAGATAGTAAACATTTTGCTATCACATTGTGACTCTCTGATTCGCCATCCAGATTCTGGATCCACCTGTCATGTGGGGAAGTGTACCTGATCATTTTAGGATTAGCGATCTGCCTTAACAGACTTCTGCTAATATAGCTGTTTTCACTCTTTAAGTCCAGCTTTGCATTACTACTTCTTCCTAAGTCATGTATTTGCATAGGAAAGAATAAATTGTTATTAACCCTTTCAATTCTGGCAAGGAATTGAGCATGACCTGCCAGATCTACAGATTCAACATAGTCCCTGTGGAGAGAGATGGTTAAAACATCACCTTCCAGAGAGACATTCTGGATCCTCTCTGGAGCAATTCTTACGGAATGCTCATCTACAGGTGCGATTGCATCATTCACCTGTAGGATAGTCACGTCAGGTGACTGACTATTTCTAAAATGTACCTCAATTGAGTCAGGTCTTTCTTCTATCACATGGCAGTTACGATCAGATTGAACATGTGATTTCTCATAGGTTATGGGAACCTTAGCTTGTGACCATACAATTCCATTCACACAGTCAATAATTGTGTTAAGTCTTCTGAGTATGTCTATACCCAGAATCAGTCGGTCATAGGGGAGATCTACCACTATCACCGGGTGTCTAAAGGTTTTGTTACCTATTTTAAACTTTAACCAGGTATTGCCAATAACATGAAGGGCATTTCCTCCTACACTCAACAGAGCATTGGGGAAATCTCTTAGCTTCGGCTTATCCGTTGCTAAGTCCATTACCTGCTGGAAGTAGGTATTGGATAAGATAGTGGCTTGTGAACCAGTATCTATTAACCCTTTAAAAGGCTGGGGTAGCGAATCCTGTATTTCTACAGACATGTAGTACCTTCCTTCATGTTCTTCTAATTCACATAAGAATTTAGAATGTGTCAACATATTACTTGTTTTCCATACATTACCGGTCACAGCAGTAGTTTCTACCTGTACTGAGGAATGCTCAGTCTTACCCACAGGCCCATCCTTTTTAGGAAAATCTTGAACTGTCAAGCGGGAACTAGTGGTCGGCATCTCATCAGTTAACCCTTTCAGGTCTGGATCCTGGAAACTAGTGGCTGCTGGGGCTATCTTAGCCTTTGGCTGAAATGAAGAAACAGAGGAACACGTTGCGCCTCCTTCACCCGGAAGTGAAGTGACTGTATAGGCAATAGATTTTCTAACACAACTATTGTTTGTTTGACTATGAGTACCTGGAAAGGAAACAGGGTTAGGCATTACATCTACTGATAACCTAGCCTGTTTAGTCACAGTGGCTATTATTGCTGCGGCACCTGTTGTTTTTGCTGCGGTTGCACAGGTAGTTCGGCAATTGGAGCTATCCCTAAAAAAGGATTGAGAGCAAAGACTTGGTTAATCTTTGTCATTTCCTCCATTAATTTGCCCATCTGGTCGGTCAATTGACCAACCTGACGACGCAAATTATTTCCCCCATTGCCGTTTTGTCTTTGCCCATTAGAATTTGGCTGGGATGGCTGAGACTGTTGGGAGTTATTGGAAGCAGATTGGTTATTTCTGTTTCCATATCTCCTATTTCCCTGAGGATTCCTTCTCCATTGGGAATTGCCTTGGTTCTTATTAACCCAGGAGCGTTTATTCCCATTGGCTTTGGATCTTTCAGAGTTACTAGAGGAGTTTGCAGAATTGCTTCTAGCGTTTTCCTGTTTCTGAGGTTTTGGAGATTTCAAAACCTCGGAATAGGTCCTCTTTTTCTGTTGGGTTTCTAAACCTAACTGAATTTTAGTCTCTGACACCATTTTATCACCAGGTTTCTTAAACTTTAGCTGATTTTCGTCATGTGCATGGTGTATAGTATACAACTTCATACACTGACTGACTAGCCATTCTAATGGTAACTTACAATCGTAATCTCTTGCGAGATTCATTTGTATGTTTACTGGCATGGCATGAAAATACAGATCTTTGAAGTCTGTGCTTTCATACCTGGGTTTTCTTTGGGCCACGGAGTATGCATTTTTAAGAATTATTAAAAATTCTCTGGGGCTTTGATCTGGACGGCACTTTAAGTTATAAAGCGCCTTCTTTGCAGAGGCAATGGTTTTATACTTACCATATTCCATGATTATTTCATATTTCATCTTGGACCAGGACATTAACTGTATAGCTTGAAGACTTTCTAGATAAACACGGCACATTGAATCAAAGGTCCATGTAATGAACCATTTCTTGTGAATGTCATCATACATACCCAATGAATTCATTGCTCTATCATAATTTTCCAGATGTTCAGATATGTTTCCTGAACCTCTAGAAAATTGTGGGACAGTCTCTCTAAGGAATTTGATGACCTTTGGTGTTTCATAAACAGGCGTCGTTGATTTACGACCTCTGTTTCTGTGTTTGGGTAAACGTCTATGCGATCTGTCTGCTGAAGAGGAATTAGACCCGTACAACAGTGCAGATGGCATATCAGTTACATGGCCTTCAGAGTGGACAGTGCAATCACTTTCACTCCCATCACTCTGAGCTTCTTGTTCACTGTCACAACTCTGATCTGCATCAGAATTCTGCCAGTGTACAGAACCATGTCTGTTTTCATTCCTATCACCTTGAATCTGATTCTTTCTGTCAAGCTTGGCCAGGACAGTCTTTTCAAACTGTTCTGCCCAAGATTGCCAAGAACCTACAGGTGTTTTCTCAGAATTACTCACCTCTTTTCTTAGAGATTGTTTTATGAAAACCTGGTCTGGTGTGTGAATATCAGGGAATTGAGAAGAATCACTTGGGTCTTTTCCCAGTAATTCTTCACTTCCCTTTTGATATTCATCTAGCTGCATCTGTATCTGTTTTATCTGTTGATCATAATCATCCACCATTTTGCTCATTCTTTCCAGTTTATTAAAAAGGTCAGAGTTTAGAGCCCGAAGGAGATTATTTTCATCAGACAAAGTTTTGAACCTTCCTTGTTCGAGCACCAGGTCTTTCTGACACTCGTCCAATTTACGTTCTATCTCATTATGCTTTTTTAACATAATAGAATAACCCAATATGAAAAACGGGCATGATTTGGTAACAGATCGCATTGTAGACTCTTCATCTATTTGGCTAAGATATTTAACCATAGGTGAATCAGCCGATCTATCGTGAATTGAATCATCAACCTGTTTTTTTATTTGGAGTATCCATTCTGGATAATCAACTTTAATATTTAGATACTGATATATGATGCTTAAGGGAAAACCTTGCATTTCCGCTAACTTCTTCCCATTCTCTGATTGAGATGAAGCGCTAGATTCAGCCATATTTCTATACAGTGATTTAATCTCAATACAAAACTCTTTTCTATATCAAGATTAAATTGCATGAATTACACCAATATTATTATTATATATGAAATACAATTTCAACTTAAACGATCTCAGCAGTGCCTCCAATATGTGGGGATATTTATGGGATAATAATAGTAACAGTTGAGAATTGCCCACTAATTCAATTCTCAGATCCCAAAGAACGTTTATCGTGTTAAGTGGAAAGTATTTCATATAAATAATCACAATGTATAAAAATAGATTTTTATTTATATGACAAATTAATAATAATAATAATATTATATGTAACATGCATAACAATAATCAATGAATATTCAGTATAAAACGATATGCAATACAAAGAAATGGGTATTACGTTTCAATGGCTAAACGGCATTTTCTGTCAAGACTTCTACGATTTATGACTAGCTTTCACAGACTGAAAGTGAAACTTTTCACAGGGAAGAACAGAATTCCTCAGAGTGCAGCGTAAGGTCGTAAAGTTTAGCAGACAGTTAGAATAACCCTTTCAATGCTGGCTAGATCTCCTAGGTAGTTAAGATCTATTCTTATGTAATTTTTTAATAAAATAACATTTAAACCAGTTCACTAGTCATTTTCTTAAACCATCCAATAAGAGAGTCTAACATTATATAAGCAGATTTTTAATTTGTCTAAAAGATATCTATCTTAATTTAGAGCAAATCAATACACCTGGATAACAACAGCGGTATGCTAACACGTGATAATATCACATCAATATATAATTATTCTTAATTCCACCTGCAGAATGGAATGTTTATAACTATATATTCTTAGTTAACTAAGATTTCTTAATATGGAAATCTGACCGTGCTTTATCCAGTCATATATAATGCTATTAATACATTTTAATTAATTTAATTTAATTAAATGAAACCAGTATAATTACCAGTTGAGTAGATATTTCATCCGATTGGTAGTCTCTCTGCATGGAGGTGTTGGTTAGAAAGTCAGTAAATTCTAAGTGTTAGAGTTTTAGGAGTAGAGTGTTAGTCTCAGATGTTGTCCGAGTTGGAGTCCCCAAACTTCCAATTCCTCTCTCCTCTCCTTTGCATATCTTGCATCTGCCTCCTCTCTCGTTTTTTTGTATCCCCTATCTTCCCTTTGTCCTAACTTTTAAAGGGCCAGACTCTCTGTACGTCATCAGTTGATAACCCAATAGAAGCACTAGAGGTGTGGTTATCTTCCAGATCGCAAATTATTTATTTGGTCTGTAGAGGGCAGTCTTGTCCCACTAAACATACCTATCCAGGAAAGAGTTAACTTTTCCTGGTGGCTATTTTGACGTCATTTTGCGTTATCTTTATAGCGCCATAATTCAAAATTTCAAAAGGATTTCTTAAATTTTGTCCAGACTTAGCGTCTGCAATTCCTGCCATAATTTCTGATATGACAGATCATGAACTAAGTTTACCCTTTTCCATACAATGGTACCTTATATATATATAGACAGTTAAATATTATTATTTAATCTTCTCTGTCACAATTGTCTGGGTTTAGATTTGATTATATTCTTCTTATCACTTGTTTATACTATGCTATGCATTCCTTAGCTCTGGCAAAGAGGCCAGTCTTACAGAAAGAAATCCTGTGTCTCTTTGTTTTTGAAAATAACAAAATGGAGTCTGATCTGTTCAGAGTGACTCAGAATATACACTTTTAGTTTCTATCATAGCACAAAATGTCTGCCGATATAAATACCCTGACAATACTGTCCCAGTTTCGCATACACAAACTCTCACACATGCTCACAGAGAAACACATTCCCATACATGCACATTCTCAGGAGGAAAGATATATTATATATATTTTGTATGCATCCCACAGACATCCCACAGACACACAAATGCATTGCCATACAAACACATATACCCACTGACATATGCACAGATATGTCCTAGATATAGCCATGCATCCCACAGATACACACATGCATTGCCATATATATGCATATACACATTGATATATACACAGATATGCACTGCCACGCACACACGGATGTACTACTCATTTACACACACAATGCAGATACACTTACCTCAGGTGCACACACTCACTCCAGAGACCAACACCCAGATACATACCCAATGTTACCTACATGCACTTATTTCCTAACACATGCACACTGCCAGTGACATACAAACACACACACACACTTGGAATATTTACATACATATGCTTCAGCGGTTGGCTCCTAAGGGTCCAGTAGCAATTGGGTGGCTTGTGTACGTTTCCAACTCCTTTTATTTGTCATCTGTGGTTTCTTGTATGCTAGTAAGAAGTACTCTGATGTCACATCCCTTAAGCTTTGCCGCAGAGGAAAGGGTTGGCTGTCAGTGACCCCAAGTAAGGGGCCAGCTCTACAGGATATCTTTAATGCTGTTCAGTGGGGGTGGTATCTCTGAACTAGACCTTGTACCCCAGCTTGAACGAGCCCCTTATTGGAGTAATGCCTATACCTGGTCAGCAGCAGTAATTTAAAAAGCATCAGCCTTTTTCTTTTTTGCTTGTAAATTCAGTTCTGATATACCTTTTTTTTTTCTATTTTTAATGCTTGTACCCCCATGATGTCAACCCTGGCTGTGTATATTGCATACATTACTAGATTTGGCATATACATGTGATGCACAGCAGTACATTTCAGAATTCACAGCTGTTAACCGCAGATTCAAAACTGCCGCAAAAACATTTGCGTGTGCATGCATATAGATTATTAGTACACTGAGATACTAAGTAAATAGTTGACTGTCTTGTTGACTGTCTTCACATCTCATAAATACACAGGGTTATTCATTAAACTTAAATGAGCACTTTAATGTTAAGTATATAAAGATGTATTCCTAATACTAAAGTGTCCCTCCCAGTCCCACCTCTCTTAAAAAAAAAAAAAACTTATCTTATTCCATCGCCGAGGTCCCTTAGCTCTGGGTCGCACTCTGCCTCCTCTGACATCAGCTGACAGGGGGACCTAAGCTGTCAAAATAACTTTGAGCCACTTGGAGTAAACAAATCACTGTATAACCATAAAAACCTGATAATCCTAAAATAATAGATTCTGTTCACATTTTGTATCCCCTGAGGAGGCATTTTAAATGTTTTATTTATCAATAATAAATCCATTAGGACTGATATAAGGGGATGCACACCTTCCTCGTTGATCAACCGTCACAGAGTTTTATCTGCTTGGCTTTTTTCTACAAGTTAGAATGAAAATGAGCATGTTTCTAAATTGTCAAATCTCCTAAATTTGTGCATTTAGGCGGTGAGATGTGTAACAGTGCTATCTAATCTTTTCTAGAACTGTATATATTTATTCTTGTTATTGCTAATGCTATATAAAAAGCACCAACATATTCTGCAGCTATGTACAATAGTTGGACTAATAAACAAATTGTTGCAACAAAATAAGTTAGATGCACAGAGATAATGTAGTTAGGGCCTTGCTCAAATGAGCCTGTTCCAGCATACTAGATGTGATTAAAAAATGCCAAAGGACGTTCCAGACTGGATGTAGCTAAAGAGAAGAGCCTTAGAGACCAAGTGGACTGCTTTACCAGTCTTAAGGAACCATATGTATAAAAGTCATGCAACATGTTATTTAATCCCTATTTGTTACAGTGTGGCCTTGAAATGTCCTGCAAACTTTATATTGTCTTTATCTTTGCAGTACCAACTATTTTGAAAGAGGCTATTCCAGCTACCACTAAGCACATTGAATCTGAGCTTGAGGCATCTAAGGAGAAGATATTCCAGTACACAGCGATTATAGAAGATATAAGTTCTAACCAAATGAAAAACAAGCTTCTAAATCTGAACCAATTAAAAGAAGCTCTGTTTAATGTACGGCAACATGAGGCTTTCTTAAATATTATTCTGGTAAGAGACACTATGGTGGTGTTTTTATTCACCTTAATCATTTTGCCATACTCAGCGCTATTTAGCGTGAGGCTGGCAAGGCATTTGCCTTGGGTGGCGGCAAAAATAGCCGCCCCCAAACGCCCTGGGAAATGCCTTGCCAGCCTCTTGTCCAGGGGGGCCAGAGAGCTGGCCCACTGGCCACCTCTGGGCCCCACCGAGGCTAGCATGCACTGATGTAGAAGGCGGGTGGCGAGGGAGCGCTCTCCCCTGAGTTTTTCCTACTAAGCTGCTTTGCGCGCACCACAGTGATGCCGGAGCCAGAATATGACGTCACTCCGACTCCAGCATTACTGAGAGGCGCGCGATGGGGCTGAGCAGGAGGATCAGAGCTCCCTCGCTGCCCACCTCCACTGCTCACTGTGTGGCCAACAGCCCACCCACTGACCTACAGCCAGCCCCACTGGACCACCGGGAAAAAGCCACCAAAATGTAAGCAAAAAAAATACAAAATTGTAAGTGTGTTAGTGAGAGTGTAATGTGTGTGTCTGTTAGTGAGGGTGTTTGTGTGTGTTTGTTAGTGAGTGTGTTCGTGTGTGTGTCTGTTAGTGAGTGTTAGTGTGTCTGTTACTGAGAGTGTGTGTGTGTGTATCTGTTAGTGAGTGTTAGTGTGTGTCTGTTAATGAGTGTTAGTGTGTGTCTGTCATTGAGAGTGTATATAGTGAGTATATGTATGTCCCAGTGTGTGTTACACTGTGTGAGTGTGCGTCTGTCAGTGAGTATGCATGCGTGTCTTTCAGTGAGTGTGTACGTGTCTGCCAGTTAATGTATATGTGTGTCTGTCGGTGAATGTGAGTGTGTGTGTGTGTAACTGTGAATTAGTGAGTTTGTTTGTACTTTCAAGGAAAGTGTGTGTTGTTTAAACAGTGTGTGTGAGACAATGACTGTGTATCTGTGAGTGAGTGTATGTCAGTGCATGCATCAGTGAGGGCATGTGTCTGTCAGGAAGAAAAATTGTGAAGGGGGGAGGGATGGTACCTGAGATTTGTCATGCCTACGGCAGCACAAAACCAGAATACACCACTGACCATGCTGTGTGTTATTAATACATTTATTTGAGAAACAAAGAGTCAGTCAGGTTAAATTATAACACTCCTATAATTTAAAGTCTTTGTTATTGCAAAAAGATCAAGGGGACTGGTCTCAGACTAGAGGATTAGAGCTGAAACATCTACAGGGATTTTAGTAAATAACCATAAACTGCCCAGTAGCAGTAACCATGATCTCTGTTCATTGTTCCCCCAGTATTAACCCCCTACATGCCCAATTGGCCTGCTAGATACACAGCCATATTATGTTTCAGTGATAACAAGGTTCCATAGTCATTGGGAAGGAGGCTGGTCTCCAAGCTCCTCCACAAGCTATATAGTCTCTGTTTACCTGGCATTAGGTGACATGGGAGAGCAGTTCCATGGGGAAGCCATTCAAAGGTGGGGAAGCTTCCATTGCAGTCATGTTTTTACATACAGGAAAAAGCCAATAAATTGGAAAATATTTTTATATTATATATATTTTGTGTTATAATACATAATTGTCCACTGTTAAACCATTTTTAATGTGTTAGTGCTAAACTAGAGTCCACATAAGCCAATCTCTCTGTGCTGCTTGGACTAATGGGGCAGCAAAACCCTGGGCAGCAGTTATTTGCGGTGATTGGCTGAGAGTCTCTCCTGACTGTCAAGGGGGTTGTGGGGGGGGCCTACAGCCAATTCAATTAGATAAAATGGTTATAGTGCCTATAGTGTCCCTTTAAGAGGTCACAAATGTGGTCCTTAAGGGGTGACTGTGCATATCCTACCTTTAGCGTGTTTACTTGCAGTCCTCCTGGCCATTCTGTATTATCTCTCTAGCTAATTGCTTGCCTATCATCCAATTAGTAATCACAGATTGGGGTGAAGGAAGGCCACTCGTCTGGTTCCCCTCACCTTGATTAATACAAATGATGGTAACCCTGAATAAAAACAATCTTGTAACGTCACATGAAGCACAGCAACTGTGTATGTAGTCTCTTGTGCACACCTCTCTTTTCTGTTATATTAAACATTAATATGGAAGCCAACACAGTTATTTTCACAGCTTGCAGTAATGAGCACAGAGTTTAGTGTCCCCTCAATAGGCTCATACACAGGTAAAAGCCTTGACTCTGTAGGGTTCACCCTGGTTCACGTTTGGATGAAATAAAGCAGTCACATTGGTATCTGAGCTTGCAGAACTACCTGCTTTTATTGCTATGCTGAAAGAATAAGGTCAAACTTTTATTGTGAAATAACTTTAGAAAGGCTGAACTTTATGGACATGTCTCTTTTCAGTCTATGTAAGTATGTAAGTTTCCATATCTGCACTAGCAATTTATCTAGCATACAATGTTGGGCATGACACTTTAAAAATAAAAATGTTTTCGTTTCCCGAGTGAATTGAATCATTCGAAAACGTACAATGAATGCTCATCTAATTTCTTTTAGTTGGGGATGTTTGCAGAAAACAAGAGAATATTGGTGCTGGAGTAAATGGCATGAAAGAGCTCTGAAATGACCAACTCCCAGCAAGGATTTCACATTAATCAAATATACCCTATTTGTTCAGTGCTGCCTTTGTTCAATATCACATATGTATTCACTATGTGACAAATGAGAAATATTGTAAATATTACATTACTTTGTAAAAAATGTAAATGTTTATTTTTTAGTCAGATGTTGTCTCGTGTGCACAGCATGTGGAAATGATGGACAAACAATACGGAGCACAAATGGAACAATTAAGAACCACTGTTCACTCAAAGACGGCAATTCCCACAGTACAGGTTTATGTAAGTATTAATGCGTAAGAGTACTTGTTAGTTTGTGGCACAAAAAAGTAAAAAAAAAAAATGATATATATATATGATTCTGGAAAATGCACGATGTTAAACCAGCATTAAATTCAATATTTCTTGGCCTTAACCTGTCCTGATCACAGGTAATTACCCTCCTCAAAGACCAGTAACTCCTAGCAACTCAGGACATGATTTAAGGAATCCTAATCCAAGTCCTAGAGCTAATTAAAAATGTCATATATCTAAAAAGATAATGGTTTTATAGTTTATTATGACATCTCCTGAGCCTACTATGGCATTATTTTCCAATACTGTACCAGTTGTTTACTAAAACTTAAATAGCAAATAACAAAAAGAGTCAAGTGCCAAATTACCCTCTGATACACTTAGAATGTATTGATCAGCTATGTATGTTCCATAGGCTGAGATACTGTGACCTATGTAACACAATGTCCGACTAACAACATACCATAAAAGGGACATTTCTGTGCATTCTTCATGGACAATCAATCAATAATATCATGTCAAGGTTTCAAAATAAACGTTTCTCTTCTAACTATTGCATCTCTGTTTCTTGTACAGCCACTCTTTATCACGCTGTCTAATCTGTGGAACAGTTTTCAGGATGAGATTGTACTGTTAAGTGTCCTAAGTAACATGACTGCAAACCTGCAGCCATTCCTGAAGATCCACGAGGAGCTGTTTCCTGCTAGCGTTATTGAACCACTGCTCAGTGAAGTTACTATCAAAACTGATGAGGAAAGGATTAAGGAAAGCACAGGTGAGAATTGTTTTATGGCAGACTTGGACAAAAAGTATAAACTATGAGAGACCCAATACAATATTTTGGAGATCAGGATTAGGTTGAAGCATAGCTTGAGGTGGGTATATATACTAATGAACACAATAAAAAATGAGATTGCAGGAGATTTTTGCATCATAACCTATGCTAGCACAGTAGGTTGTCATGATGTTCAAAGAGTTTTTTTTTAAAATCATCATATACCGTAATCATACCGGTATTTATACACTTAGAACACGCATTACAATGGTATTCTGTTATAATCTGGACATTAATCGGTCCACTTGTTATTGTCAATTACAATGTACACTATATGGACAAAAGTATTGGGACACATCTTCTAATTATTGCATTCATGGTGTTCCAATCAGACCCATGGCCACAGGTGTATACATACAATCAAGCACCTAGCCATTCAGTCTGCATTTACAAACATTCGTAACAAAATGGGTTGTCCTGAAGAGCTCAGTGAATCCAAGCGTGGTACAGTGATAGGCTGCTATCTTTGCAATAAGTCAGTTTGTGAAATTTCATCCCTGCTGGATATTCCACAGTTAACTGTAAGTGGTATTATTTAGGAACAGCAGCAACTCAGTCATGAAGGAAAAGACCACATAAAGCAAACATATCAAACTTGCGGCCTGCAAAAAAGGAAGCCTGGCTAAAGAATAGATTATGTTGAAGAAAGTTGCAAAATGTCACTTACTTTTTTAGCAAAACTAATAAGATCTGAATGTAGAGAAAAATACAGCATAAATATGAGGTCAAATGTTGTTAATGAGAGGTAGGATGACACCATAGTATTAGGAATACATGTTTTCCTTTAAGTTACAGAGCAGAATGACAGAGCGCTCTGCTGATTCCTTAGCTGAAGAGTTCCAAACTTCCACTGCCATTAATCTCAGCACACAAACTGTGAGACAGGAGCTTCACAGGAGCTTCATGGAATTGGTTTCCATGGCTGAACAGTTGCATGCAAGCCTGAAATCACCAAGTAAAATGCCAAGCGTTGAATTGAGTGATGTAAAGCACACCACCACTGGTCTCTAGAGCAGTGTAAATATGTTCTGTGGAGTGACGAATCACACTTCTATGTTTGGCAGTCAGATGGGTGAGTCTCAGTTTGCCTACCTGACTGCATTGTGCCAACTGTAAAGTTTGGTGGAGGAGGGATAATGATATGGTGCTTTTTTCAAGGGTTGGGCTAGGCCCCTTACTTCCAGTGAAGGGATATCTTAATGCTTAAGCATGCCAAGACATTTTGGACAATGCTATGCTTCCAACTTTGTGGGAACAGTTTGGGGAAGGCATTTTTCTATTTCAGCATAACTGTGCCCCAGTGCACAAAGCAAGGTCCGTAAAGACATGGTTGGATGAGTTTAGCATGAAAGAACTTGGCTGGCTGCACAGAGCACCTTTGGGATGAATTGGAACAGAGATAGCGAGCCAGGCCTTCTCGCTTAACATTGCAAATGCTCTACCTGGTGAATGGGCAAAAATTCCCACAGAAATATTGCAAACTCTTGTGGAAAGCCTTCCCAGAACAGTGGAAGCTATTATAGCTGCAAAGGAGGGACCAACTACATTGTAATGTCTATCTATTTAGAATGCAATGTCATGTTGATGTAATAGTCAGGTGTCCATATAGTGTGTTTATAATATTATATTGTTACCTTTTCTACATTGAGAGAATGAAAATCCATGTATTTCATTGTTGTACTCAGCGTAATTATTCCAGTCCATTTTGTCAGTATCCACACATGCACCTGTAAGTTATGCTATCTGAATTTCCTTTCATTATATAATACAAGTATACTAACCTGACACTCAACTCCTAGCCAAAATGTGAGGAATTTCCTTAGTAGTATGAAATATGCAAACTTGATCTTTTTTATTTTGTGTTTTGATGTAACAATATAACTTTTTGAGAAGTGCTGCATAAGTAGTCCCAAGCACTTTGTCCTGCTCCTTATTCTTCTGAGTAAAACATTGATATTTTAAAATACATAATTGTTAAAATTGAAGGCTTGCTTTATCTTATTTACAATTTTTCTTTAGGATCCCGTGTAAATACCAGTGATTTTTCAACACTCGACTGGTATTTCCCAGAACAGACAGCAAATTTTGATCGACTTCCTATTCAGTATCATGGATTCTGTGGCTTTACTGTTGCTTCAAAGGAAGGCCTCCTGTTACCTGGTATGTGGCCAGTATTCAAAGAAATGTGTAGATTGAGTGTTTGATGCAGGACATATAAATGTACAACAAGTGTAAGGATGGATTTTTTGTTTGAAGTTTTGTTTTCTTGTTTGTATGTTATAAAATTGCTTAAATAGATGTGTTTGTTAGTGACAAGGCTCAGTCAGGGCCATTTTTAATATTGATTGGACCCTTAGGTAAGCATTTTCTTGGGCCCCCTGTACTGTGCCCCCATCCCCCCACTCACTGACATGCAATCACACTCTCTACCTCAACGCAGTGGCGGAGCTAAAGTAGAGAGTGCCCTGATCAGGCCCGGACTGGCCATCAGGCACTGGGCAAATGCCCGGTGGGCTGCGGTGGCCATGGGCCGAGGCCGGCAGGGGAGGTCACAGGATCTCCCCTGCCTGTCTATGCAGGGCTGGCACTATCCGAGCACTGGCCCCGCTGTTTGCCATGACAGGCCGGTGGGGAGATCAAAGATCTCCCTCACCGGCTCACTTGCATAGACATGTAGCTGGGGAGGGAGAGGAGGACCCGGCGGAGCTCTATCGTGTAGCTCCGCCGGGTTCCTCTCGCGAGATCCGGAGCGTTGCCATGGCAACGCCCCGATCTCGCAAGAGTGAACTTTAGCCCGAAGGCTAGAGTTCACTCACCACAAGGACCACCAGGGATGATGTGAGAGTGCCGGTTCCCCCCTCCCAGGTACCACCGTGCCGGTCCCCCCCCTCCCAGACTAAAGGTAAGAAGGGGGGATATAATGCCTGCTTATTTTTTTTATTTTTTTTTTACCCCCCCCAAACACACAATCCATTTTAACATTCATCCACAGCACCCTCACACACAGCACTCTCACACACAGCACCCTCACACACAGCACACTCCGCACCCTCACACAAATCACACACAGCACTCTCCCACACAGCACCCTCCCACACATCACCCACACACACAAATCACACAAAGCACCCCCACACACAGCACACACAGCACCCTCACAAAAAAGCACCCCTAAACACATTACATTCCAGACACACACTAGATCCCTTACCCAACTCTGGATCATATACACACACTAGATCCTTATATACACTCTGAATCCGTTATATACACACACTCACTAGATCTCCTGCACATTCTGGGTCCTTCACACACACACACTAGACTCCTGTATACACACACACTGCACCACCTACACACACACTGCATACCTAACATACACACTCTGGATCCCTTATACACACACTAGATTCCTTGTAAACAAACATCCTTGTGGATCTTTGTGGATCTTAGGTAATATACTGGAAGTTGTAGCAATAATTAAACTTGATAAGTGGCACATAGAATTTGATTATCCTTATATGCAGGTTGCAGCAATATTTAGATTATATAGAAGTGATACTTAAACTTCCTGTAACTGTAGTAGAATTTGAAGGGATCAGCAAGATGTAGAATGATCCTGGTTTGGTTGAAGTTCATTAATACAGGAGTCCTTGCTGGTGTAACAGATGCTGAAGAAAACTAGGTGAATGAGGGCTGTTAGAAGTGACAGAGGTAGCTCAGCGTGGAGTCCGAGGTTGGATCAAAATAACTTAGCAATTTGAGTTTGGTGCGGCTTCCCTATAAGGCATGTGAGTGGAGCGTCATCGGAATGGGAGGAGCTTACTTCCGAGCGCGGAAGTAACTTCGGGGGAGCAGAGTCACGGTAATTATATGACAAGCGTGTTCCAGGTCCTGCCAATCTCCAGCAACTTCGGACAGCCGTTGAAGAGGAGTGGACCAACGTTCCACAGGCCACAATCAACAACCTGATCAACTGTATGCGAAGGAGATGTGTTGCACTGCGGGAGGCTCAGAGGTGGGGGCCAGGGGGAAGGACAATAGGTCCTCCCCCAATTTGTATTTAGGGCCCCCACCCGCCGCTCAGGGGTGGGGGCTAGGGGGGAGGACATTAGGTCCCCCCAATTTGTATTTAGGGCCCCCACCCGCCGCTTAGGGGTGGGGGCCAGGGGGGAGGACATTAGGTACTTAGGGCCCCCACCCACCGCTCACGGGTGGGGGCAAGGGGGGAGGAATAGGTTCCCCCTCCTATTCTTGTTTAGGGCCCCCACCCACCGCTCAGGGGTGGGGGCCAGGGGGTAGGATATTAGGTCCCCCCCTTATTCTTGTTTAGGGCCCACACCCACCGCTCAGGGGTGGGGGCCAGGGAGGAGGACAATAAGTCCCCCCCCCCCAATTTGTATTTAGGGCCCCCACCCGCCGCTCAGGGGTGGGGGCCAGGGGGGAGGACATTAGGTCCCCCCCCCAATTTGTATTTAGGGCCCCCACCCGCCGCTTAGGGGTGGGGGCCAGGGGGGAGGACATTAGGTACTTAGGGCCCCCACCCACCGCTCACGGGTGGGGGCAAGGGGGGAGGAATAGGTTCCCCCTCCTATTCTTGTTTAGGGCCCCCACCCACCGCTCAGGGGTGGGGGCCAGGGGGTAGGATATTAGGTCCCCCCCTTATTCTTGTTTAGGGCCCACACCCACCGCTCAGGGGTGGGGGCCAGGGAGGAGGACAATAAGTCCCCCCCCCCAATTTGTATTTAGGGCCCCCACCCGCCGCTCAGGGGTGGGGGCCAGGGGGGAGGACATTAGGTCCCCCCCCAATTTGTATTTAGGGTCCCCACCCGCCGCTCAGGGGCGGGGGCCAGGGGAGGGGACATTAGGCCCCCCCCCCTTATTCTTGTTAAGGGCCCCCACCCACCGCTCTGGGGTGGGGGCCAGGGGGGAGGACATTAGGTCCCCCACAATTTTTATTTAGGGCCCCACCCACCACAGGCTGCTCACTGTTTACTAGACATGCCCCTACTCGCGGTATAGCAAGTAGGGGCCCAATTTACTAATACTAAGTAATTCTTACTTAGTATTAGTAAATCTGGCTGAAAGACCAATTTAGGTCTTTCAGCCTTTTGTTAGATAACTCCCTAATACCGTGGGAATTAGGGAATTATCTACCAAGCAGCTGCAAGAAAAGTCCCGAAATGCCGGAGTTCCGAAGTCGCCGAAGTTCCGAAATTCCAAAGTGTCTAAGATCCGAAGTTCCGAAGAGTTGAAGTGCCGAATTGACGAAGTCCCGAATTGACGAAGTCCCGAATTTCGAAATGCACATGCCTAGTCTCTCTATATCTGAAGTATCCAAGAAAAATCCACTGCTCCGAAACCTCTTTCATGTTTAATAATGGAGTAGAGGAAGGAGACATCTCCAGTGGCCATAATGTCTCCCTCCCTCCACCCACCTCAGGTCTGAATATATTCAAAACCTGTGCTGCATTTTTTAAATACGTCAAAGGCATGTATTCAGAGAGGGCGGCAGTTATTGATTCTAAGCCTGAGATGACCAGCCTTTTCTCCACATCCTTATGGATCTTAGGTAATATACTGGAATTCTTGTATAAATAACTGGCAAGTGGCAAATAGTCATATTCATTCTTAGTGGAGATTCATTGTGTTAATACCCTATCCAAGAATTCCAGAAATATCTTCTTCATATGAGGTGTTGGGTCACCAACTAATTTAGTATAGGTGAGTCCATCCTCTAATTGTCTCAAAGTCTTTTTCACATGATATCCCTTATATAAAATCACTCTCTGCTTGCTTTGTTACGATCTGTTTGTACCTTTTTAATTTTTCATCTATTCATATTAAGTTTATACCTATTTATTCTTTTAGTATTACCTCTCCCAGCCTCAGATAACAAGTTCCTCAAACACAGCCATAGACTTTAACAAAATTAACTCTGTACACAAACTCCCACTACTCCTGGGCGGCAGGCAGCAGCATTGACTATAGAACACATCAGCCCCAATACATAAAATCAAATAAATGAGTTATTTGCACACTATCCCAAATCCCTATGCACATTTAAATAACTGGACATTTTTTAGTATCACTCCAATGGCCGTTAAGTGTAAGCTCACCTGCCACGTCAAGGCAAACCTCTTAGGTAAGTCCTACGCTAGTAACTTACCTTGCTTCTTTCAAGTTCAGGTATCAAAAAAATCTCTAATGAAGAGAAGGGTATTTTTCTAAACCCCTACATACATATTAACCCATAACATGGAATACATGGAGTGGGCGGTCAGATTGTAACATGGCTGTGTAATGGAGAATCAAATGCAAATATACAAAAAGAAATGCTGCACTCAAACTCCAATGACTCCTGGGCAGCAGCAATGACTATAGTACACATCAGTCCCAATACATACTATAAAAAAAACTAAGAAAATAGTTATTTGCACACTATCTCCAATTCCTATGCACATTTAAATAACTGGAGGTTTTTAGTATCACTCCAATGGGCATTTAAGTAATAGTCATAGTAATAGTCATTACAGCCATAGAATTATTTGTGTAGGAAAAAAAGATCTATTTGTTTTTTTACATTTCATGTGATACATACATATTGCCTGTCTATCCTCCCCTCTTGGTTAATTTTCATGTCCATTTTGAGAAAATGTTCTAATAAAGTTTAGTATATCAATAAAGGTAGAGAAGTGGTCCAAATGCGCAGTGGAAACATTTTTTTTTTTCATCTTTAGCCAAAATTGCTATCTGGGTTCCAGTAAAAAAAAAAAAAAAAATGTTTTAAATATCTTTCCTCTTTTTCCAATTCTGTTAAATCCTGCTCCCGCCACCCCTGGTTCTCTTCTTATAAACAACATTGTATTCCTTACACTATATAGTCCTTTGGAATAGTGGCCACTGGGCATGACATATTGTGTTTTTATATTATTTTTTTCATGAGCTTGTCTAACACCATATTTGGCCAAGAGCAGTGCCTTTTATTCATTACTATCGTATACATTATTTGACCCTGGAATTTGCAATTTAGCCACTTCTGAGTTCTGCTATTTTTAAAAAAAATAAATTTTTGAGAATCCTCAAAAAATTCTTATTTTGAATAATTAAGTTAATTTGTTTGCACATGAAGTGTGCGCATATTTTGATCCACTAGATTAAAGCAGAATTATTATTTTTTAAAGAAAAACTTCAATTTAATGGCTTATGACAATGCTTATCTTAGCCTTTCTTGTCTAATATTTTTCTAATATGAGAAAATAAGGGTTTGGCTGCACTCACCTACACTTGCTAAATTAGGGTGCTGCTGGGGGCCAATAAGTACAGTGAAAATGAAAATCCAGCGCACTCGCTTACCTACTAAACAGTCATTTTAATGCTGAACAATTTTCAGTTTTATTAAAAACACCTAATCTAGGCAAAAAAATATAATGGGGGTTTAGTTACAGAATATGATCATACACTGCATAAGCCTGCCACAACGTCAATGTACCCCATCTTTGGCAGGTCCTACTCTGTCTGCTAAATGAGCTTCTCACTTGGGGAAATCCTTCCATCTCGAGGTCTCTGCAGTACAATGCTTAAATAGGATCCTGAGATGAGGCACCTGTAACAGGGAGGGGTGCAAAACCTGTGGAGCTGGCTAGACTCCAAAATATATACATATATGAGAAAATAGGGGTTTGGCTGCACTCACCTACACATGCTAAATTAGGGTGCTGCTGGGGGCCAATAAGTACAGTGAAAATGAAAATCCAGCGCACTCGCTTATCTACTAAACAGTCATTTTAATGCTGAACAATTTTCAGTTTTATTAAAAACACCTAATCTAGGCAAAAAAATATAATGGGGGTTTAGTTACAGTATATGATCATACACTGCATAAGCCTGCCACAACGTCAATGTACCCCATCTTTGGCAGGTCCTACTCTGTCTGCTAAATGAGCTTCTCACTTGGGGAAATCCTTCCATCTCGAGATCTCTGCAGTACAATGCTTAAATAGGATCCTGAGATGAGGCACCTGTAACAGGGAGGGGTGCAAAACCCATGGAGCTGGCTAGACTCCTAAATATATACGTATATGAGAAAATAAGGGTTTGGCTGCACTCACCTACACATGCTAAATTAGGGTGCTGCTGGGGGCCAATAAGTACAGTGAAAATGAAAATCCAGCGCACTCGCTTATCTACTAAACAGTCATTTTAATGCTGAACAATTTTCAGTTTTATTAAAAACACCTAATCTAGGCAAAAAAATATAATGGGGGTTTAGTTACAGTATATGATCATACACTGCATAAGCCTGCCACAACGTCAACTAATATTTTTCTAACCCTTGTTATAAGATCAGAATATAAGATACATTTAAATTATCCTAAATTCTCTCTGTGCGTTGTATATTTGTTTTTTGTTCTTTTGCTCAGGAAACCCAGACATTGGTGCTTTAAAGCACCGGGAAAGATACTATATTTTCTCCTCCAAGGAAGCTGCTTACACATTTGCCCAGGACCCGGATCACTATATCCATCTAATTGGGGAGAAAGCAAAGCAATGTGCCGAACTCATACAATTATTGGAGCTGCATCAGCAATTTGCATCTATTGCTCCTTATTCCCAGGTATTTTATTAAAACCACTTATACCTTAACATGTCATACACTGTTCTCCACACAAAGTATATAAACCTTGAATTCACAAGGAATAAAACATTCCATCTTAAAAACAAAATTTCACAAGTGTTTTCATTTCAAATAGGCCAATTCTCCTTCTACTACAGCAGGGATAGGCAACCTTCGGCCCTGCAGTTGTTTGGACTACACCTCCCTTGATGCTCTGCCAGCATTATGGCTGTAAGAGAATTGTGGGATATGTAGTCCACAGCATCTGGAGTGCCGAAGGTTGCCCACCCCTGTACTACTGCTTAATGAACTGATTCTGAGGCAAAGAGCTGTCCCAGAAGACTCAACACTGTAAACCAGGCTTACCCAAACTCCAGCCTTCCAGATGTTGCTGAACTACAACTCCATGATTCTATGAATGAAATAGATAGGCTGAGATTCATGGGAGTTGTAGTTCAGCAAAATATGGAGGGTGGAGTTTGGGGAAGCCTGCTAAACACTACCTTTGCTTACAAAAGGACATCAAGGATGGTGTAGCGGTACAAGCCATGAGGGTTGGCAAGGCTACAATGCACTGATCTATCCTGTGGCCCTGACCCTCTAATCTCACCTGACAAAAAGGTTACCTGTTGACCTATACACACATGTTCCATGTGACCTGGGCTTTTTATAGGTCCAGACCCTTGTCTCAGGTTTGTGTCAAAATTGAGCAGGTGCACTGCAAAAAAAACAGAATGGCAAGAAAAATTCTATAAAAAGACACAAAGCTATGTGTTTAATAGCTTCTAAATAGAATAAGTATTTCTTGCAGTGACACAGAATGATGGTTGGATTTAAGGCTTCTTAGTAGACTGAAGGACATTTTGCAATAGCATTTAGTTGAGTTATGCACTTTAGATCCCCTGCTTATGTTGTTCCAGAACTCACCTGTAAGGTCATCCATCTCCATAGCACCGTAACTGACAACACATCATCACAAAATAGTTGTTTTAGTGCATTTCCATTTGCTTTCTCATTGACTGTGTTTGCCTAATTGATGTCTTCCATTAGTTAGTTCCCTGCACTGTTTTATTTGCCTTTCTCAAGATACGCCTCTATACTTTAAAAACTGTAACTAGAAATGAATACTTTACCTGAGCTGTTTTATATAACAGGAAAAATATATAGACTCAGGTTTTAGCAAAGCTTACATAAGAGAAGAGGAAAGATAAAGTAGTTACAGACAGATATAATAGATACGTACGGGATACAATACTATAGCTATAAAATGACATCAGTGTAGCTCCAAATGCTTACTAAATGTATTGTTGAATTGATAACTTTCATAAGGGGTTAGGCAAGAATATGCTAAATGCTTTCATGCATAGTCTCCTTGTAATCTTTCATAGGATCACCAATAATAATAATATTTCTTCCACGTGGACGTGTGTAACGGTGCTCACTACTTCATAGAAAAGGAGTCGTCAGTCTATTTTTAGTCAGGATTTTAATGTACTTGCCAACATAAGCAAAACATTAAAAATCTGTTTTGTTTCAGAGCGACTGGTTGCAACTGCAACATTTACAATCCTGGTAGTCCCGCCACTACTGGGGGCATGAAATATATCAAACTCTCTTCATGTGGTGCATGTAGCTTCACAGTACCCTACTGGCTTCTTCTTGTTTATAATTTTGTCTGCAAACATTGCTTTGTATAATTTGCTTTCATATAAGATAGCTCAGTTGGTTAATGCAGCCACTGTATTGCCTATTTAGACCTCGGGATATTGTATTGCCAAAAGGGTTGCCTAGGCATTTTAGCCTACATTAAGATACATCATTTCATTACCATTGGGCTGTGAAAAAACATCTGTACCCAGGACACATACCTGAAATCTGTGGAAATGCCACATGTACTTCCTGGTTAAAAAAAGAAAGAGTATTTTTTTTAAATGATACAAATGGAAATTTAATGTACTGCATATTTTTTTTGGTTTACTTAATAACACACAGCCATCACAGTCCTGAATATATTGTATATTGTATTCTGAGATTCCACACTTTCCATATGTGATTCTTTTAAATTTCTGTGTAAAGTCTTTCAGCAAAGATGGAATTCTACTCTTACTTGCTCGATTTAGAAATCTGGCTTTGGCATTGCTGGGTATACACAAAGTTACCAGGGACATAATGATGCATATGGGTTTTATTGCAAAAATCTTAACATTTGTCCTGCTTTGTATTTTGTTTACCATTATTCAGCATTATTGTTTTTGACTATTTGTATAGGTATTTTACATTTTTTGATATCTATGGGTTTTCCAGGCTAATGTTTTTCTATTTTGCACACATTTAGTCAATGTCTAGGTGCATTGCTCTAATACTGGAATAAGCGTAATCAACTGTGTTTCTTATCAGGCCCCAGCTCCGGAATATCTTTTAATAAAGCCAGTCACTAAATGCAATAGTAGCACACAGACTGATACCCACTTACTGGAAACTAACATTGTCAAGTCTTATGAGTGGAATGAATGGGAGCTGCGGAGGAAAGCAATCAAGCTGGTTAGTATAATAAGTCATGTGAACATATGGCTTACAAATTATAAAAAATAAATAAACAAGAACCTCTATCAATGGAAATAATGTGTATACATCTGAGAGTCAATTATCCAATTACGGGAATATCTTTTGCTGCTCCCAGAATCGCTCCCATAAAGTCCTTGTAGGTTATTGCATAGATTTAAGTTCTCCAACTAGAGGCTGGATTAACCCTTAATATAAACATAGCAGTTTCTCTGAAACTGCTATGTTTTCAGCTGCAGGGTTAAAACTAGAGGGACCTGGCACCCAGACCACTTCATTGAGCTGAAGTGTTCTGGGTGCCTATAGTGGTCCTTTAAGGGTATTTTTAAAGTTTTTATGTTGCCATCAAACTGGCAATCTCTGCAATTTATTGTAATAAAAAAAATTCAGATTTTTAACACACCCATATAGCGAGGTTTATTTTGAAAATCTGCTGTGTGCTACTCTTATACAAACCCCCAAATTATTTTCAGCTACATCTTTTGAGGTTTTGAGGTAAAAATATGTCCATTTTATGCCTTTGTCACTATCCTGTAAACCTACAGTACCAGTAGCAAACTACCGTCAGTGCGGCAGCACCGGGGCATGCATACTTTGAGGGCCAATCAGGTAGGCCATAGACTTATGGACACTTGATGGGTATTGCTGGTTGCCCTTTAAAAGCACAGCTGGGCCCCTGTAGTATCGGCAGCCTGGGAGGAATTGAGAGCCGTTCTCTGCTCCACACCGCTTACAACTAAATCTTGTGTGGGTTAACAATAATTCAATTATTGAGTTATATGATGATTAACTACTCTGTTTGTGTTGTTTTGTTCTTTTCTGCAGGCTAACCTGCGCCAAAAAGTAACTCACTCAATGCAGACACATTGCAGCCATATGAGAAGAGAGAACTTCACGCAGGTGTACTTACCAAAACAAGTTGAGACTCAAACCAAACGTGACAACTCAAGCAATGTGCCCAAGCCACAGATCTTTTTGGCAGGAATCCGTGGTGGAGAGACATCAAAACCTACTAACATGGTTAAAGTTAACTTGACAAGGGCGGTTGATGAATCCTAAGAGCCACTTTTATTAATATTAAGTTACACAATTCAATAAATATTTTACTTCTTATACAAATAATAGTGGGATCATTTACTGACAACTGTGTACAATGTAAACTCGTGTAACAATTATATGATATAATTTTATGGATAATAAACTTTTATCTGTATATTGAGAAAATCAGATTGCTAGTATAGATAAAATTATATTTACATGTATAGCTTTTACCTCTATGGTGTAGGCATAAAAAGTAAAACTACTAAAACAGATATACTGTTATTAAAGGGACTCTCCAGTGTGAGGAAAACATATCAGTTTTCCTGGCACTGCAGGACTCTGCAGTGTCCCTCTCCCTTCCAACCCCCATCCCATACTGCTGAAGAGGTTAAAACCCCTTCAGTGACTTACCTGTATCCAGCGCAAATGTTGCTCGGCGCTGGGTCCGGCTCTGCCCATTCTCTTCCCCCGCTGACATCAGCTGGCGGGGGAGACCTAATGCGCATGCACAGCAATGGCCATGCGCGCATATTAGACCTCCTCATAGGAAAAGATTATTGAATGCTTTCCTATGGGGATTCTGGCGACACTGGATGTCCTCATGCATAGTGTGAGGACGTCCAGCATCGTTTAAAACACTTTTCCTGTTCTAAGAACACGGATGTCCCTCTAGTGGCTGTCTGATACCTTGCAGGACTGCAATAATTACACCTTGCCTTAAAGGACCACTATAGTGCCAGGAAAACATACTCGTTTTCCTGGCACTATAGTGCCCTGAGGGTGCCCCCACCCTCAGGGACCCCCTCCCGCCCGGCTCTGGAAGGGGGAAAGGGGTAAAAACTTACCTTTTTCCAGCGCTGGGCGGGGAGCTCTCCTCCTCCGATCCTCCTCCGTTCCTCCCCGTCGGCTGAATGCGCATGCGCGGCATTCAGCCGGTCGCATTGGAAAGCATTTACAATGAAACTGCTATGTTTATAAAATAATGGGTTAATCCTAGCTGGACCTGGCACCCAGACCACTTCATTAAGCTGAAGTGGTCTGGGTGCCTAGAGTGGTCCTTTAAGCATAGCTCATGCTGCAGGGAAGTATCACACATAAAGGAGGACTTCATGTAACAGAATTGAAGATTATGCTGGCTTTAGTGTACCTATAATCTTCCTTTTAATAATTACAGGAGACAAATATGTTGCTTAACTCTCTTTACTTAACTCCAACAGCAGCAGAAATAAAAAAAGATTACACCAAAGAATCAAAAATAGGTAGGAAATAACATATTCCATTGTATACAGTAACACCTCCTCTTTCTTTTGTGTCAAAGAGAATAAACAATCCAAAATGTTAACAACAAATGCAACAATTAGGAACAGCAATATTGAAAAACCAGCCAATGCTATCACATAGTCAAAAAACAAGGCTTTCTAGACACCTAGGAGCACTCTGGATAGCAGGATCAAGCTGAAACAAAAGAAAAAAACGATGCGATGCTAAGCGATGCTAAGAGACTGAACTCTAGACAATTATGTAATTTCCTACAGACCAGGTAGCAGAAATATAAAATCTCTCTCTCCAGACAATTTGTAGCTACTGATTCTGTGTGGTGAATTAGGTCCCAGCTAGCCTGTCAAGCAGCCAGGTCAAGAAGGCTCCCTGACGATTGCACGGATGATCAGGATCTACCGTCTTTTGTCAAGTCCTAGTCTTTGTGTCCCCGTCCGTTGACGTCGTCACTCAGTAGTCTAGTTATGTGTTGTCTGTCTGTCCTGTATTTGGTCCATCCGGCCCCGCTGACGGGCACACCGGGCCCCGATGATCTATAAGATGGAGGGGAAAGAGAAGGGATTAAGGGGTGAGGAGCATTGGTACCCGAACCGCGGTTCCCTAAGCATTCATCTCTTGCCGGTACCTGGCAATATATAAAAACCAGGGCGTCCACATTTCCACATGCTTGGTTCCCCGACCCGTTATGGTGGCATGAGCTTCCTCTGCCCCCTGGATATCTTCCACCCTGCGGATCCATTCTTGCCTAGTAGGTACCGCATTCGTCTTCCAATGGGCCGGTATGTTGGCCTTTGCGGCGTTGAGTAGGTGTCGTAATATCGACTTCTTGTACACCGAGATGGGTCGAGTTGAGATGTGTAGCAATGCCAATTCCGCGTTCCATTCTGGTATATCTCCCAGGATAAGCGTCACCGTATCCTTGATCATTTCCCAGTAGGGGGTGATATCCCTGCACTCCCACCATATATGCATCACCGTGCCTCGTTCCTCTTGACATCTCCAACACACCGGGGGGAGTGATGGGAAAATTCGGTATAGTAGTACTGGCGTTCTGTACCAGAGGGAGATTAATTTATAGTTCATTTCCTGATAATAGGAGCTCATAGAACTCTTGTGTTGCCATAGCATTGCTGCCTCCCACTGTTGGGTGGTGAGCGGATTCCCGAGTTGTTCTTCCCATTGTCGTTTGAATGTCATCGGTGCAGGCGCACCTCCAATCAGTAAGTGTTGGTAGCTACTGATTCTGATGACTCAAACAACTCACCACTTGTACCACTAGACAGAATAGTGGCTCTGACTAGAACAGTTCCATCTAAGGGTTCAATCACAGGCACCTCCTGATTTACCCCTTGAGAAACTGTTTGCTCCACTCCATGATTATCTGCATGGTACTAACATCATGTCATGTAGGTATTAACAAACAGTTCATCTTGTGTACCGTGAATTTTGGTGGCCTTCTTTTCATACTGAGATCAAAGAATATGTATTAGCGTGTACCACATGCACTCAAACTAAATCATTTCACCAAATACCCAGTGGCTTATTACAGCCTTTGCCTATACCCTCTAAAACAAGGATTTATCTTTATTTAGATTTTAAGGTTGATCTTACTCCCTCTCAGGCTCATATGGTTATATTTATGATAGTCGATAGATTTGGAACAATATCTAAGGTGCTTTGAGTCTGATCTGCTGGACAACTGGGATGATCTAAGGGCTGAATCTGCATACAACAACTCTGATCATGATATGTCAAGCCACAGTCCCTTCTTTGCTAATTATACCTTTCATCCTGCTGTTTTCCCAGCATCCTTTGTTGCTAAAGGGAAGCCATGATTGGACTCCCATTTAGAAAAATTGCAGAGGCTATTGGGGCTGGTTCATGCAAGGGGCGGTCCTGGCGAGGATAATGTCACAATACCTTTCCCTAGTGTCGCCGTGTGTTCACAGAAGTGATGTCTCTTCGATGTTCTGATCCACACCCAATCATCCCTAGCTTCCTGATGACTCATTTGACATGATGTATGATTACGGAACCCTCTCATTGGTCTGCTTTTATAATCTTTGTGCTTTTTGATGATATATACACACTTGTGACATTATGGCCCTCTGTAGGCAATCACACCCCAGTACAGGGTATATACATTTCCTGGATGTCCATGTTTCCTTGCCCTGCCGTGGTTTTTGTTTACCCGAGAGTGCGTTACATATATCTTATTATTCCAATTATCTGACTTTGGCTTGTCTGACCATACTTGATCTCTGGAACCCTGACCTTGGTTTGTTTCTTGTTTCGGTGTAGCTCTGTAGTCCCTGAACGTGGCTTGTTAATGTTTATTCTGTCTGCTTGAACACTTTTTGACTATAATCTCAGTGCCAGCCGGGCCACTTTAACGACTGGTACACATACCTTCATTGCATATACCTAGGTATTTGTGTGTTAGGGTCAGGCCAATCTTGACATTTGGGATCCATTTTCATGATGTATTTGTGAATAGTCTCTGATTTATCCGAGACTGTGACCTTAACACTCATCAAGCCCTGGCCTCCTTCCTACTGGCTGGTGAACAGTGGGGTGCTGGATTTCGGGTGGAATCATCCATTCATAGTGAGCAGCTACTTGGTTTTCAGATCCATGGTGTCCAACTCTTCTCTTGACCAGGTTATTATTCCAGTTTAATACCAGATATTGGGTAAGGCATATGGCTTGCTGACTTGGATTTTGTTCTTACCATTGAGCTGGGACTTTATAAATTGTTTGACACTTGTGCTTGTATGTTGCTGTCCTCCTGGCATTCTCCTCATGGTTACCATGTGTTTGTGGTATCCTCAGGTACTTGTAGTACTATTCCGTACATCTATTTGGTCTTCTGGCACTCCAACTCCTTCACTTCTAATTATCTCCCATTATTTTGCTATCATATGCCCATATTTAATAAATTCAAATGACACTCCAGTGTCCTTGCTCTATATAGTTAGTTTATAGTTAGGGGTTTCACTGCAGCACTGGGACATATAGGGTTAAGGTGAGGGTAAAATTAGGGTTAGGAACTATCTTAGCCTCTCTCAATGCTTATTCTAACCCTAATCCTACAAGTAAGGTTAAAATTAACCCTGGACATAATAGTACATTTATTTTTTCCAAGGTGTCAGTAATCTGTAAATAAATAAAATACTCCTTAAATCTAATCCTGATTTAACCTTCACTTTAACCCTAAATGTCCCACGTCTCAATGCTGCAGTGAAGACCCTAACTATAAACTGAGTGTGACAGTGTTTGAACATAGTCCTATCCTTAATGATCACCAGAATTACCTGCCATGGTCTTACAGTTCTATCCAGCCTGACCCACACCCTTTCAAGTACTTGGTGAGTGGTGACATTCTTGATAGACATACAAGGGAGTCAGTTCAGGAAAATGTCCGATGTTTATTAAACAGAAGAAAGGATTTATAATAACACACAATATTGGGGAGTCTGTGGTGAGTATCATTAATTACGAATCAAATATTGACAACTATTAACTAACGTCATGAACAAGCATGCAACATTGGTGAAAGCATATAACCAATTATTGATATAAAACATATCTCTGTGGGCATTACTAGAATAGGAGGGTGTAGAGCTAGGGTCCTCTTAGAATAGGAGAGAATAAAGATGGGCATGTGCCAAGACTATGTATGTGACATCCTTGCAATGTACAAGATTGTTTGTCTTATAATTCAACCGAACAGAAATAACTATATCAGACAGTTACTTTAATTACCTTACAGGACCTTTCCTAGCAGCCTTTTCAGACACAGGGATCTAGAGGAAGGAGTTCCAATGATTGCTGAACTGTGAGGCAGTGTTGCCAATACCATGCCTAGCAATATATGTGTTTAAGATCTCCATAAGTGAGCCTGTCACACCTAGACACCATGTTCATGTGACACAATCCTTATACCTACATTACTGCTTTTTACTGTAATCCAGGAAATAAATCTTGCTATTTTAAAGGTATTATATAGTGTAAGGAATACAAAGTTAGGCCCTCCCCATAGGACTGTATTAATATGGGGATTTAACCGACGCTGGGTGTCCTCATGCAGAGCATGATGTTTATAGACCACATGCATTCTAACCACAGAGGTGTACACAAGTATCAAAACCTACCTTGAACACAACCGGTCAGTTAACCTCTGCATTTACACGCACCATGCCCCAAGGATCTGTCTCTCCCATCCATAGGCATGTATGAGGCATAAACTCTGTAAATTGACAAATGTTTGCACTGCAGCGTCATATAATGTGCTACATGTGTGGGACATCTGCAAGGATTGGGACATGCACAATACACGTGGCCCTCACTTTACGACCTGTTTTGCGACTGCTCGCACTTACAACCAGCTTTCTAGCCTGGGGATTTGAGGGATTCCCACGTTAGAGAGCTGGAGTATTTTCGGAGAGTTTTTCTCGAACATAAACTTCAGAGATTCCCTGCGCTTGTGAGTTAATCTGTGTTCGGGGAAGTTTCCCTGAACATAGATTTGCGGGATGCACTGTGCTAGTAAGCTAATCTATGTTCGAGGAAGTGTCCCCAAACAGATTTGCCGTATTCCTTGCGCTAGTGAACGGGTCTATGTTCGGGGAATTACCCTGAACATAGACCTGCTCTCTTGTGCATACTCCCTAGCGCATCCTCACTTACTGACCAATTTGTTTCACGACCAAGTCGTAAGAACGGAACCCAATCGGTAAGTGAGGACTGCCTGTATATAGACTTGTGCTTATGTGTGTATTTACATGTTTGTATATATCTGGAGATTAGAGCAGTGGTAAAATCACAGTTAGACCACCTCACCAGTAAGTGTCCATGGGTAAGACAACTAATGATATATATCTGCCTACTTCAAAAATCAACATAGATTTTAAGCTAGCTTGAGCAGGACCTTCGTCGTCTATTATGTCTGTCAATATTCCGTATTTCAAGTACTTGTCAAATATCCCCTTTCCATGAATGTAAAACTTTTTGAAACATTTTGTTGCAGTATAAATGCTGCTGATAATAAAGATATATATTTATGAGAATGAGGGAACATAGAGTGATATGGTTGAACCTCTTTGCTACTATTTCATATTATATTAATTTTGGATATATTTTGGCAGCAACTGGGCTAGATTTGTATGGAGCAATTGGCAACACTGCTGTGAGGGGAAACACATTCTGGTAGGAATCTGAATGTGACAGAACACTGGTTCTGGTCAGGAAGTTGAAGTCTTTCATTAGCATGTCAAGTTGGGAACTCTGATAATTGTGGAAAAATTTAGCTTCTGTGCCTAAGCAAGAATTTTGAAATCCAGCTTGTGATATACAGATGAAGTCAACAATTTGTCTCTCTGTATATATATAATTACTCGAAACTGCTGTTTTATCCTAAATGAATGTACTAACTATTCAAGTTTGAAATAAATGTTATTCTGTTGTGTAACGGACCGTTTTGCATACAAGAGGATAAAAACCATTTAGGGATATTCCCCTTTTCAGATACACAGGCAGCTACTGCAATCACCAATCTCCCGAACTGCAACCACACGAATTCACCAATCTCCCGAACTGCAAACACATGACTTCACCAATCTCCCGAACTGCAAACATATGAAAACTCCAACTCCCGAACAGGAAACACACGAATGCTGTAAACAGCCGAACAGGAAAAACCATCCGAACAGTTTACACTCCTGGCAGTTGCACTGTAACAGCATACAATCCAATTCCCCCCAAGAACGAGACAACACTTCGTTTGAGGATCAAGCAGAGCTGATTTACTGGGGCTACCTGCCTGGCTTTTAAGCAGGTCTCCCACCTGGTGGACACTCCCCTAGGGGACCAGATGGAAGACTGGTAAACATATTGGACATTGACCAATCCCAAGCTTACAATCCCACAATGCATCACAATCCCTCCTCTCTGTTCTGGAAATAATTGGGAAGTAATACAATTATCTCCAAGGACAGAGGCAAAACTCCATTAACCACATGGCAGACAAAGGACAATAAAAGACTTAAAAATACATACTGTTACATTTATCACATAGAACATACACATTCTACATATCCCCAAATAGCTTAGATCTGAGCGCACATTATTACCGGATGGCGCTCAGATCACATTCATACAGTTCAATCGCCATGGAGCCAAAGTCTTTCATACAGTCTTTCAGTATACGGCTGGGCTCCATGGCATAGCTATCTGGGGTAGCATGGTTTAAACAGTAAAGTACCGAATGGACCGGTGTTCGGATAATTAACTGCAGGTAGGAGAAGGGAGGTCGGCGGCTCAGCGGTGTTCATGACTTTAACAGTCCGCAGAAAGGCACGAACCAGCCTTTCTGCAGGGAAAAAGAACAGTGTTAAACAGTGTTAGTCCAGCGGCAGGAGGTGGGCGACCAGGCTCCTCCAGTGGCGAGGTAGGTTCCGCCACATGTTTTTTTTGTACAGTGCTTGTATTTATCTAAACTAAATGTATTTCCTACTCCTAATGTTTTAAATAATAATAATAATTGTTTCCTGATTTATTATATCTAACCCTTCAAAAATAATTGTCCTAAACTATGTGAGCTGGAAGATTACCTATTACAATACAAAAACTCTGCCATTAACCAAAACTTTCCTCTATTTGTTTAAGTGAAGGATCTGACGTGATAAATAAATCCTGTTTTGAATACAGGATGTCATTGTCAGGTGTCAGTTTTGTTGTTGTGGACAAAAATATTAACCCAATTCATGTTAGTAAAATGCCTATTTACTCAGCATAACTACAATCAGCATTATTCAACTTTCTATGTGATTTACCTAAAATGGCCGATAGGGAGTTTCCTTTTTGACATCGACTAATACCCTCATTAACAAGATGGCGCTGGAATCTGGGGGAGACCTCCAAGATACCAGTGACATCACACCCGGTAGGAAGAGCACTAAACAAACCACTTTTACACCTAACCAATTATTGATGTATTATTCCATGTTATCTCTGACAATGCTTATGATGTAATTTTGCTTTATAAGGGACATGCCATCCCCTCAGAATAAACATTCCTCAAGTTTTCCATTAACCCGAAACTTGTGTCTGGTGTGAATTACTTTAGGAGCGTGCACGCATTACTTCTTTAATTTGGCCGGGGGCAGATATGTAAGATAATCAATTTATTGATTGATTTCCACATCAGTTGTATACACTACCTAAATGGTGGGCTCTACCTTATATTTTATTACAGCATGGGTGTTGTGTAATAATTGTATCATAATTATTATTGGTATTTATATAGCACCAACTTATTCTGCAGCTCTTTACAATATTATAAAAAGGGGGAAATGTAACAATAAATTAGACAATTACAAACTGTTACAGGAACAATAGGTTGATAAGGACCCTACTCAAAATGAGAACTACAATTCCCTTGATGCTTTACTAGTTTTAAGACTGGCAAAGCAATAAGACGCTGTAAGTTTTAAAGGATCACTATAGTGTCAGGAAAACAAACTCGTTTTCCAGACACTATATAATCCTTAGGCCCCCTCCCGCTGGGCTGACGGGGTGAAAACCCCTTCAGCCATAGTGGCGGATCCAGAGCCTGATCTCGGGAGGGGCACTTGTAGATTATTTAAAGAAATAATCCAGACACAATAACAACTACAGCTCAGTGTAGTGGTTATGGTGTCAATAGTGCCGGGACCCCCTCCCAGAGTAAGTAGTCAAACCGTTTAAGAACAGTTTGACAATTTACCTGAGGTCTGCTGGGAAATGGGGCAGTAGTAGGGCATAGGAGCAGTGGTGTGTGTGAGTGGTGCAGTGTGTGTGTGTGTGAGGGGGACAGTGTGTGAGCAGTGTGTGTGTGAGGGCAGCAGTGTATGTGTGGGACAGTATGTGTGTGTAACAGTTGCAGTGTGTGTGTGAGTATTGCAGTGTATGGGGCGGCAGTGTATGGGGGCAGTGTGTGTATGGGGCAGTGTATGTGTGTAGAGTGTATGTATGGGGGCAGGGCAGCGTGTGTGTATGGGGGACAGTGTGTGTATCGGGTAGTGTATGTGTGTAGAGTGTGTGTATGGGGGGCAGTGTGGGTGTATGGGGGGACAGTATAGGGGCAATGTGTGTGTATGGGGGGGCAGTGTGTGTGCATGGGGGGTAGTATGGGGGGCAAATGTGGTGTATATGTATGTGGTATGACCAGTATGGGCAATGGTGTGTGTGTGATGTGTGTATAGGGGGGCAGTATGGGTGTATGGGGGGGCAGTATGGGGGCAATGTGTCTATGGGGGCAAGTGCAGTGGGGTATAGGGGGGCAGTATGGGTGTATAGGGGGCAGTGTGTGTGTGTATGGGGGCAATGTGTGTATAGTGTATGGGTGCAGCAATGTGTGTGTATGGTGGGGGCAGTGTGTGTGTGTGATAGGGGGCAGTATGGGGGCAGGTGTGGCCAATGTGTGTATGGGGGCAGTATGGGGGCAATGTGTGTATGGGGGCAGTATGGCATATGTGTGTATGGGGCAGTATATGTGTGTATGGGGGCAGTATGGGGGGCAATGTGTGTATAGGGGGCAGTATGGGTGTATGGGGGGGGCAGTATGGGGATCAGTGTATGTGTGTAGAGTGTGTGTGTGTGATAAGGGTAGGGGGGCTTTTTTAAAAAAAAAATATTTTTTTAATTTAGTTTAATAAAAATAATCATTATGTCCCCCCTCCCTTCTTACCTTTACTGGGGAGGAGGGGGGACATTTCCCTGGTGGTCCGGTGGGCGATTCATTGGTGGTCCGGTGGGGGATTCCCTGGTGGTCCCAGTGCTGATGAGAGTGAACTCTAGCCCGCGCTCCCGGGCTAGAGTTCACTCTCGCGAGATTTGGAGCGTTGCCGTGGTAACCGTGGCAACGCTCCAAATCTCACGAGAGGAGGACCCGGAGGAGCTGCAGACTGAGCTCCGGGTCCTCTCTCTCCTCCCTCCCTCCACCGCCGGCTGCCAGCACAGTGCCTGCGGACCGGGGAGGGAGATCTGTGATCTTCCCCCCGGTCTGCAGGCACATAGCAGGGCTGGCACTTGCATGTGCTGCTGGCAGGGGAGGGAGAGGGAGACCGGCGGATTTCTCGGGGGGGGCAATTGCCCCGTTGCCCCCCCCCTGGATCCGCCACTTATTATTATTATTACCACTTACCTTTATCCAGCGTCGGTGACTTCTCCCCTCCGACGTCAGCTCCCAACTGGAGCCGAATGTGAATGCTTTCCTATGGACGGCCTGCACGCTGAATGCAATTTTCGCATTGAGCGTCGCAGAAGCGCCTCTAGCGGCTGTCAGGAAGACAGCCACTACAGGCTGGATTAACCCTGCAGTGTAAACATGGCAGTTTCTATGAAACTTCATTCAGCTGAAGTAGTCTGGGTGACTGTAGTGTCCCTTTAATACTAAGTATACAATCGGCATGTAGGGGGTCGATTTAGCGACCACCCCTGCTATATTATGCATTGCTGGCTAAGGCAAAGATTACATTCACTGTGATGCTCAGCCAGCCTCAGTTTTCCGCAGTTACAGAGGTTGTTTCCTAACTGACAGGGAGTATTTTATAACTCTAGTTCCCTTTCTCTGGAATCAGTCGCGCCTCTGGTGACGTCACGTCCGCCTGCCCAGTGTAGCTGGCGCAGTGATCAGGGCTGCAGTGGAGGTCTGAGAGCCAGCCTGGGAACCATGGCAGCCAAGGGTGAGAGTCCTGTATAACGGGTATAGAGATATACATCAACCCAGCAACAATAGGACATGGATAACGGTGTACTGCGAGTTAATGGCCACTTCTAATAGCTTCCTCTGTGTCTGCTCTGATCAGAATGCAAAGAATTGCCATTCAGAACCTTGATCGTCTGTGTGTTCTATAGAGAAAGAAATCCGTTTTGGGGGAATTATTTCATATTGTGCACTGCAGAGACCTGGAGCATTTATTATACTGCGTAGGTTGTGTTTCTAATTTAATGTTTTTTCCTCCCCCTAGAGAATGTCAGCTTGCTGTTCAAGCTTTACTGCTTGCTGGTGATGACCCTTGTGGCTGCAACCTACACTGTGGTTTTAAGGTACACAAGGACTGTAACCACAGAAATGTATTTCTCTACCACTGCAGTCTGTCTCACGGAGATAATAAAGTTAATACTCAGTGTGGGTATTTTGGCAAAGTAAGTACAAATGCAGTATTTTCGTTATAGTTGTCATACGCTGTTTAAAGGTTGAAGTGGCTAATTATATACTATTTTAAAACTATTAATCCAAGATTTGTCATTCTATATGAGATACATTTAAAGTTACATATCCCCTAAGTATCTGCCTAGATGCTTATCTCTTCTATACACTGCACAAAAGTAAAGTTTTTTTTTTTTTTTTTTTTGGAATTTTACCTTGTAAACTATAGTGGCATACAAGTCACTTTTGAGCTTTTGTGGTTCTTTTCGGGTGGACTCGCAGGTCCTTTCATAAACAATAAGACAGGCATAGCTCTATAGATCCCAGTGTGTTTACACTGTCTGGTTTTAGTAGTCTTAATGGGAGTCTTTGTTGGTGTCTTGTGTGTTAAGGGTAGGTGTCGTTTACTGTGAGGGGGGGGGGAGAGGTGGTGTGATCTCCTTTCTGAGGTCTGCCGGCAGTGATAACTGTATTTAACGGTCTGTGTCTTGTGAACCCTTATCATTGTCTGCCTGCCTCTTGCATGTGGTAACCTTCTTTGCGGTCGCAGGGTTACCTATCAGGTGTCCCTTTCCTCTCTGATGCTGGT